TGGCATGAATATTTGGATGTGTTGTATTTGTATAAGCTGGCATCTGGCATGCTTTCTTTAAAGTTGCATGACTTCTTAAAAGTTAAACAACCATTACGTGTAACGAGAAGAAGTAATCCTTCATCAGGTTTAATGTTTGATATCCCAAAAGTACGCACAGTAACATATCAATCTAGTTATTTTATTCGAACTGCTAGAATTTGGAATGAACTGCCATCATCCATACGATTATTAGAAACTTTATGTCAGTTTAAAAATAGTCTATTGAAATACTACAAAGATTGTCTAAAAACTATTTATGACACTGACAATCCAAGAACTTGGAAAACTGTGTGTCCAAAATGTCATAACTGTTCTGTTTTAGTAAAGCAATCACAGTGTTGCTGATTTTATTTTATTTATATTTTATAATGGGCCACTGTTATTGGGGTTTTTAACCCTGTTGTTGGTTCCTGACACTTTAAAGTATTTATGTGTGGTATTTGTACGTTTGTAATTTAATTTTTTTTTTTGTCATATCGAAATAAAAAAAAATAAAAAAAAAAAAAAATAATGAAAGTATAATTTTGATATGGCTTTAAATGATAACATACAATAATAAATTATCATCATATGACGGTTTTACTAAGAAACACAATAAAAAATTACTCTGGTTATCTGTACCCAGATTCTGGATACAAGAAACCATGGTTGAATAAGTCATCAATAATGAAAGCATAATTTTGATATGACTTTAAATGATAACATACAAACATAAATGATCATCATATGACAGTTTTACTAGGAAACACAACGAAAAATTTATCTGGTTATCTGTACGCAGATTCTGGATACAAACATGAACCATGGTTTCTTGTATCCAGAATCTGGGTCTGTACCCAGAGTATTTTTTTTGTACCCAGAGTAATTAACCCGAGTAATTTTTCATTGTGTTTTCTAGTAAAACTGTCCTATGATGATCATTTATGTTTGTATGTTATCATTTAAAGCCATATCAAAATTATACTTTCATTATTCATGACTTATTCAACCATGGTTACTTGTATCCAGAATCTGGGTACAGATAACCAGAGTAATTTTTTATTGTGTTTCCCAGTAAAACTGTCATATGATGATCATTTATGTTTGTATGTTATCATTTAAAGCCATATCAAAATTATATATACTTTCATTATTGATGACTTATTCAACCATGGTTGCTTGTATCCAGAATCTGGGTACAGTCAACCATGTTAATTTTTCATTGTGTTTCGTGGTAAAAGTGTCATATGATGATCAGTTATGATTGTATGTTATCATTTAAAGTCATATCAAAATTATACTTTCATCATTCATGACTTATTCAACCATGGTTGCTTGTATCCAGAATCCGGGTACAGATAACCAGAGTAATTTTTCATTGTGTTTCGTAGTAAAACCGTCATAATGGAATGATCATTTATGTTTGTATGTTATCATTTAAAGTCATATCAAAATTATACTTTCATTATTCATGACTTATTCAACCATGGCTACTTGTATCGAGAATCTGGGTACAGATAACTAGAGTAATTTTTCACTGTGTTTCCTAGTAAACTGTCATACGATGATCAGTTATGATTGTATGTTATCATTTAAAGTCATATCAAAATTATACTTTCATCATTCATGACTTATTCAACCATGGTTGCTTGTATCCAGAATCTGGGTACAGTCAACCATGTTAATTTTTCATTGTGTTTCGTGGTAAAAGTGTCATATGATGATCAGTTATGATTGTATGTTATCAATTAAAGTCATATCAAAATTATACTTTCATCATTCATGACTTATTCAACCATGGTTGCTTGTATCCAGAATCTGGGTACAGATAACCAGAGTAATTTTTCATTGTGTTGCGTACTAAAACTGTCATATGATGATCAGTTATGATTGTATGTTATCATTTAAAGTCATATCAAAATTATACTTTCATTATTGATGACTTATTCAACCATGGTTGCTTGTATCCAGAATCTGGGTACAGTCAACCATGTTAATTTTTCATTGTGTTTTTTCCTAGGAAAATCGTCATATGATGATAATTTATGTTTGTATGTTATCATTTAAAGCCATATCAAAATTATACTTTCATTATTCATGACTTATTCAACCATGGTTGGTTGTATCCAGAATCCGGGTGCAGATAACCAGAGTAATTTTTCATTGTGTTTCGTAGTAAAACCGTCATATGATGATCATTTATGTTTGTATGTTATCATTTAAAGCCATATCAAAATTATACTTTCATTATTCATGACTTATTCTACCATGGTTGCTTGTATCCAGAATCTGGGTACAGTCAACCATGTTAATTTTTCATTGTGTTTCGTGGTAAAAGTGTCATATGATGATCAGTTATGATTGTATGTTATCATTTAAAGTCATATCAAAATTATACTTTCATCATTCATGACTTATTCAACCATGGTTGCTTGTATCCAGAATCTGGGTACAGATAACCAGAGTAATTTTTCATTGTGTTTCGTAGTAAAACCGTCATATATGAATGATCATTTATGTTTGTATGTTATCATTTAAAGCCATATCAAAATTATACTTTCATTATTCATGACTTATTCAACCATGGCTACTTGTATCGAGAATCTGGGTACAGATAACTAGAGTAATTTTTCATTGTGTGTTTCGTAGTAAAACCGTCATATATGAATGATCATTTATGTTTGTATGTTATCATTTAAAGCCATATCAAAATTATACTTTCATTATTCATGACTTATTCAACCATGGCTACTTGTATCGAGAATCTGGGTACAGATAACTAGAGTAATTTTTCATTGTGTGTTTCGTAGTAAAACCGTCATATATGAATGATCATTTATGTTTGTATGTTATCATTTAAAGCCATATCAAAATTATACTTTCATTATTCATGACTTATTCAACCATGGCTACTTGTATCGAGAATCTGGGTACAGATAACTAGAGTAATTTTTCATTGTGTGTTTCGTAGTAAAACCGTCATATATGAATGATCATTTATGTTTGTATGTTATCATTTAAAGCCATATCAAAATTATACTTTCATTATTCATGACTTATTCAACCATGGCTACTTGTATCGAGAATCTGGGTACAGATAACCAGAGTAATTTTTCATTGTTGTTTCGTAGTAAAAGTGACATATATTGAAATATTATCCCAGATCCTGGATATTAGTAACCATGGTTTATAAGTCGTGAGTGATAAAGTAACTTCTATACTTAGTATTACTTTAAATGATAAAGTAATCATAGCATAATATTTCCAACAAGCACGATCTTAATTATGTCAAGTTTGCAGAATTTACTTTGTTCCCCAGTTTGAGTATTACTTTAAATGATGAAGTAATCATAGCATAATATTTCCAACAAGCACGATCCTAATTATGTCAAGTTTGCAGAATTTACTTTGTTCCCCAGTTTGAGTATTACTTTAAATGATAAAGTAATCATAGCATAATATTTCCAACAAGCACGATCTTAATTATGTCAAGTTTGCAGAATTTACTTTGTTCCCCAGTTTGAGTATTACTTTAAATGATGAAGTAATCATAGCATAATATTTCCAACAAGCACGATCCTAATTATGTCAAGTTTGCAGAATTTACTTTGTTCCCCAGTTTGAGTATTACTTTAAATGATAAAGTAATCATAGCATAGTATTTCCAACAAGCACAATCCTAATTATGTCAAGTTTGCAGAATTTACTTTGTTCCCCAGTTTGATTATTAATAGCATGGGGATAGGGTGTGCATGTTGTGTCCCCTAAAATATGAAAATTAAAAGCCCAAATTGTGTGTGAGAATCGAACTCACACCATTCTTCGTGTAATGGTTATCCAGACACAATTTTTGTGGCTTTCCAAATATTTTGGTTTATATATGTTCGTCCGCACATTGATGGTCATTGTTAATACGAATATTTAGGATAATAGTTCCGGCCTATAAGATTGAAATGTTCAAAACAATTTTTATTTCATGATTTATTTTTGACAAAATGCTTTATGGTGTACATTTCATATTAAATTGATTATTTCATGCATGAAGTTATTATCTTTCTTGCGACTATACCATAGATATCTTATATAAACTAGATAGCGCATCTCTTTCAATAATATTGAAGCCAAGAATATTCCGGCGGTTACCCCAATCTGAATAGATGGCGGCCATGTTGAAGTTTCCCACTCGCTAATACACGCTTAAAAAACAATAACTTTCAAAATTTGAATAGTTTGAAAATGTATTTGGAATAGGTTTAACTTAATGTTTAAGTTCCCTCTTTAAGAAATAGAAAACATACGAGTCTTCTCATTTCGTGGGAATATCCTGAGTCTGCAATCACGGCTTCAATTTTTGAATTGCAGAATAATTAGATGCACTATCTAGTGTATATAAAGATGTGTATGCTATTTACATGAAAAAACTATTTTTACAAAATTTCTTTCAACAGAATTTCCCTATTTTTGAACCATAAATAAAAATTACAATGCCTTGAGAAGTTCTCATCATTCATATAGGAAAGTGGTCCTTTAATTCTCTTCAGTCCAGAGTTGCTTTGTTCTGCGATTTGACTGTTGAGGTAATCATAATCAGGGTAGCTGGAGATATGATACGCGCTGGAACAACCTTGAAAAGATAGAAACGTCACATCATCAACACAAGTATTGCATTTGCTGATTTCATCACATTAATGTCATATAGGCATGAAAAGGTGATTATCATTAGATATCTAAATAATACATTCAAACCTGTGTGGTCGGCCCAGTGAAGACGATCTACTAAGAACTGTGTGTTTTTGAAAAACGCTGGGTCACGATTGAGGCAATAGGAATGCAGGTTACAAGCATTGTCGTATACAACAACCCTAGGAGCTATGATAAAAATGTTAAAAACTTGGTTGTATTAAGTCGCTTCAGTCGACATAAATATACATGGATGTATGATATCAACTATTTGTTATTACCACATGATACTGTATGTACAGGACTGTAGTAAAAATGTCTCTCAGACAGAATAAGTACTGATTAAAAATAAGACGAAATACCATCAGTATTACCTCTAGTGAATCGAGATCGCAGGATTGTAAATGGCATATCGGGAGATTCGTTGGTTGTCATAACTGAGTACCCATAGTTAATACCTATATAAGGGAATATTCCAATAAAATAGAGGAAGTACTACTGTACATCAGCAGGGCCGTGGCGAAGACTAAATAGGGGTGGGGGGGGGGGTGTAGTATCACATTTGCCGACAACATTTCAGTTGCTAATAATATACATAAAGATATTACTCGACTGTGATTGGTTGATTTCAGTGCAGTTAATCCCAAACAGCAGTGCAATTTTTTGTAATCACAGTGCAATTTTCTGTAATCACAGTGCAATTTTTTGTAATCACAGTGCAATTTTCTGTAATCACAGTGCAAAAATCTGTAACAAACTGATCTCATTGGTGGAAAAACATTGTGATGATTAAATCAACCAATCAGTTTAAAGCAATTTAGTTTAAAGAAGTAACGGTCACAGATTGCTTCAAAACAAAACAAACATGGCGCCGCGCTACAGTAAAGTAAAAGTTGCTTTCGCGTGAAAAATATGGCTTTTATCTTTATTTTTAATGGGAAAGCATTTACCTTAAACAAGACTAACAAAAAATACACGGTTGAGTGGAATTTACAAGCTGTTAGCGTTGTATAATGTGATAAAACAAAGCCAGGAAAACTTTGCCAGTGGAATGTTCGCCATAAACGCGTAAGTTAAAACTACAATTGTCTCGAACATTTTTATGTAAATTATTAATAAGTAATAGCATGGTTTCTCGTGAAATTTGGATAAACATGCATTCGTGAGTTTTTCAAAGACCTCAAATAGCACTCGTCCTTCGGACTCGTGCTATTTTGAGGTCTTTGAAAAACTCACTCGTTCATGTTATATCCAAATTGCACTCGAAACCATGCTATTACCTATTGATATAACTATTACTTTTCAATCCGAGCCATTCAAATAATTTCTCTAACTACGAAAACAATTTGCCGGCAAATCCGTTATTTTGCCGACAAGATGTTTTCAGGGTGTGACAACCCTCCCCCCATAGCGACGGCCCTGTGTACATGTATGTTCTATTGTTCTTTTATGCTGTAAGTTGAATGTTTAAACGTTATTAAATTACAACGTAATTATTTTGAACAACGTGCACTATCATTTGTAAGACTTGCATATATGCTTTGGTTTAGAGTCCCAATTAAAATGCCACATCATCTTTACCAACAAACTTAACAGCAGCGCTTTACCATGCTGAGACAAACACTTACCATGCTGACAGAAAATTAGAAATATACCAGGAAGAAGACTAGGATGTCTTCCGGACTTCTTTGTGCATGGGTTCTCGGCAACTCGACTACTTCGGTCGGCAGTGTACTTTCCTCTGCCACGAACAGATAATAGGGAAGGGAAGTGTGCTAACAATGAGGAGGGGCTATCAACAGAATCATCGGGAGGCGGCACATAATCTTCGAATGCATTATCGGCTAACTTCAGAAGTTCTGTTAGCAGAGGGATGAACTCCTCGGGCGCAAATGATTCACTTAAAGTGGAAAAGAAAACAAACAACGAAGGACACTTTTTTTGCAAAACTTCCATATCGCGTGGAAATTCTTTAACGGGCACACTGCTAAGGATGTTGTCACAAACACGTCGTAAATCTTCATCGGGAGGGAAAATTGCACAAATTGGTGTATTACAGGAAATGTCCTTAATGAATGTGGCAATTCCGTTCGGGAAAGGGGCTTCATTACCGTAAATTTCAAGACACCAGTCAACAAACGATGCAAGAGATGGTATACTTTGGTGCAATTCAGATTGAAGGCTATTTAGCTCATTGACGTTCATTGCAGATACATCTGTACATGCTCTTTTCAGCGAATTTCTTAAGGATTTAGATTTAACCAAAACTCTGTTACTGTGCCTAGTAAAAGCATAAAACAAAACCAATTCAATTTGCGATAATAAGCAAGCAATTCTTCGAGCCCATGATACTATTATTATACAGTATGTACAAATGAAAAGCTTTACGAAAAAAAATGTCATTGGTGTTTTGCAAATCTAAACCCTCGTTAATTGAATAACATATAAAACACAGAAATTATTCATGAAAAATATATATAACCATTTATTCGAATTACAGTTACTGTAGATTAATAAATATTTTTTGGAATACTCAGTGGAGTATGTCTTGCACAGCAAATATCTCCGGTCTTTGTCTTCGAAAAACCTCTTATGTTATCATAAAAGCAAAACTTTTGACCTTTCAGAAAATGAGAAAATCGAAATACTTCGTTTATAGAGTTTAATAGAGTATACTTATCTTCCGTGGCCAAGTTGTGGCGTTGAAGCAGTAGAGGAAATCTGTAAAGCTGAACATAAGTTCTTTCTATATGCCAAGCTTGTACCATCACAAATGATGATTTGAGGATTACCTTCGCATGTTGGACATTCAAACCCAGCCGTGAAGTCGATGTCCAGAAGTTGCAAGAATGCATACCACGCTGACCGCCAGTGATTGTAATTTAATGTCTCTTTTAAATTGATGTTCACAGAAGACTGCAGAGACAACGCCCATGACTGATAATAAGTATTCATTGATACACTGCAACAAAAATTAAATAACATTATTACATCAACTATAGTGCTTTATAGAAATTTCGAGCAATGATAAACTCACATGTGAGATTATTTATGGTAATTTCACAAGTGAAAATTATCGCTTTGCAATTGCCGCTTTTCTGTAAACATTATCGCTTTTCAACGACTGTCCTTTATATGCAAAACAAATCATGCTCAATGAATATTATAAATGAAATTAAATAGAGAATAATACATGGATGCTTGGGAATACCAGATTTATTTCTTGTGTTAACATGATATCTCACTCGTTCGCTGCGCTCACTCTTGAGATATCATGTTCAAGACTCGAAATAAATCTGGTATTTCTGCGCATGCATCCATGTATTATTCTCTATTTAATTCCATTTATAATATTCATTGAGCATGATTTGTTTTGCAATATGGTTTATCACGTTCATGTTTGTGATGTTGTTACTCTGAGTGTATCCACACCGGGCAAGCTGAAAGATCTGCTTGACCGCGGTGGAAATCAAACTTGTGACCTTTGGTTTGATAGTCCAATGCTCTACCAACTGAGTTACAGCCAGTTACATTTAAAATGATATATAAATTTAGTTAACAATTATTCCGCATCTTGCTTGGTTTTCGAAATAAATCAACTTATTTTTATCAAAAGCAGCGTGCATTCTGCCATCTTGGATGCATATCCATATTCGAAATGCATACGTCACAAGTAAGGTAAAAAGCGAAATTTTTATCTTGCACACCACATGTCATGATCAATATGAAACTCGATTTTCCGAAGTCTTTTTAGTACTCAATTAATTCACAACATTTTAAGAAACTTTTCGAAGTAATTTAATCCCACATGAAGAAGTTTTAACAAGTTTACCCTGCTTGTGACGTCATGAAAAAATGAGTTAATTAGGCAATTATAATACCAAGATGGCGGACTGCACATTGTTTTTAGTCAAAAATTTTCGAAAACCAAGCAACGTACGAAAAAGTTGTAAAAGGTCTCATTTTATTGTACAGTATAATAACTCCAAACAGATAAAGTAAATGACAGTGGATGTCCTGTAGTAAAAATAAAGTTTCTCTGAACAAACAACAAAGCTAAGAAATATAAATGCAAAAATGTGATGTAAAAGCAACTTGGGTAGTAATAAGAGGACACAACAAAAATATTAATGACTCACCCTCCTTTCAAAAACAAGAACATATATTCCCTAAGAACTTCATAAGATATGAGGTAATTTCCCATGTTTAGGAGAGTGGCTGCATTACCATCAAACGTCATATCATTGATACAGTCATCATCAGAGCATGGTCGGTTATAAACTGTATAAAAAGGACAATAAATTGTCGCAACATTCTGAAAATGTTTATAGAAACATTGCGTTCAACCTGCGTATCTTTACGTGCTGTAAATTAAATTAATATAAATTAAAGTAATATTATTTATATTATTTTCTTTGAAGGTCTATTGAAGCCCCGTTTGGCACCAGTACGTAATTCGTGTGTGTTCCAATGACTACTCTTTTTACAAAGCCCCAGCATGGATATTTTTGTTATGGGTGCATGTTTTATTAGTGTTGTAACAAAAATGCGAGTGTTGTACAAACGGGACTCAAGGGGCATCCTTTTTACGGCATACTTTATTCATCCACTGTCACTATATGTACAGACCGAGAAAAAAATACAAACCAGAAGGAAATGCTGCGTTTGATAGAATTAAAATGAAAAAACTCTTCTTGGGATTCATAGTAATTAGAAAACTATAATTGTATAGAAAAATTGAAACCTGGTAACAGAGGGCGTAAGATTCACGCACTTAATTTGCCACCAATCTACTGTATCCAAGACAGTGTATACTGTATCATGTAACCTCAGACCCCTCCCATCAAATTTGGCAACTGAACGAAAGGAACATAAATTACACAATAGAGAGGATCAAGTTTTACTTCCTCTACCGCTACAATTAAGGGACCAATAATCAACCAGTGCTGGTGGTAGTGGAAGCAAAATCTAAACCTCTAATGATTATCAGCATACCAAAACAGTCAAAGATGCGCCGCTTTCCATACAATTTGACAGTTTTAATATGCCATCCTTCTTCCCTTGGATCTTCATCTCTAAATCGACTCCCACATAAATCACATGGATCATCATTAATAGCTGGATAAGGGGGAAAGAGAGCCAAGAAAACATTTCCTTCATCATCTTTAACTTCAGGGAGAATAGCTTCAGGTCCATGGAGAAATGAGAGACGCAAGCAGCCAGAAAGGTCGAACGGTATTTTCATGACAGATACTGGAGATACCAAACAATTCCTAGAATATCCTGAGGAGACATCCTGTTCCAGAAAGTCAACAAGAAGCTCAGGTATATCAGGATCATCCAATGGCCATCGCCTTATAAGCATGGCGTGTTCACATTGAACTGATGAACATGGAATGCATTTAACTGAGCTATCACGCTGCTTTAGGAGTACACCAATACTTGTAGCATCATGCATTGAAACCCCAATTAAACTGTCATTCATCTGAATGCCAAACAGGTTAGTAGTACTCTAAGTGCAGGTGAAAAATACAATACAATGTTAGAAACTCTCAACATGTAACAGCCTCGCCTCCGTCAGTAACTCTGTACTGTAGCTCTGCAACATTAAATCACGTTCTCAAAACATCTTAATTAATATGAATACCGGTAACTAAAGATTTCTTACCAGAAAGCTAGGAAATACAGTATGATAATAAACTATTGATACACGAAGTAATTTACGCTGCTTGCTATTATCATATTGTATTTCCCACAGTATGTTCCTAGTAAGATATCTTTATTTCAGAACTGTCTACAGTAGTTGCCTGCAGCAGACTAAATATGCATTATTCAACTTTTTGTTGTCCTTTCAAAATCCACACTTGTAAGCGAAAGTAGATGGTTTCATACATGTATACAGTACATGTATTGGCATACGCACCTCGTATGTATGATCCCTCATTAAATTTGCATGCTCTTGAATTTCTGGAGTAATTCCATGATGAGAATCATAATCCAGCAATAACTGGCACAATGCTTTGATGTGGATGCACACTGAATTACTAAGATCTGAATGAAATAAATGTCCACATTGGTTTAAAACATATGGCACACTGAAGCATACTACAGTATACAATACTTTCACCTGTCTGCACTGATACTGGCTTGCCAAAGATTTAATTAACCGAATAAATTAAAGATGACCAAATACTATATATATACTGTGAGATATTACTGAAATGTTTTCAGCAACATGCGCATTTTCATATAAAATCAACAAATGCTTCTGCACAACCTTAGATATTATATGTACTGTATAATACACTGTATAATATACACACCCAATGGCTCCTGCTGTAATGACTTTGACAATCCTGAAAGCAGTTGACTTCTTCGAGGTGAGCAAGTGCAGCTGTATAGCCAATCATACTGGTTTGTTAGTAGATGGTGCCAAACTCTTCTATTCACCACAATGAAGTTCATTTCCTTACATGAAAGGAAAATTGATATTTCAATCATCATTACACATTTCTAACTTTATTCCCAACTTTACTTGTGCTCTACCTATCTTTGCCTAGTAACCAACAATTTATTATTATTATTATTATTATAAGTTGCATGAGGTTGAAAGAGTTGAGGCTAAGATTGACGTTGGTTGAGTTGGAAATACAGTAGTTGAGGAAGATAAAAAGAACAAAAGCCAATGAGGACTACGGATTTCTGATTTCAGTCTCTAAACGTTGGACAAGTGTAGCTCACACTTTTTCACAAATTGTATCTGGTTTGACTTTCAGGCCTTCTCGGTTAGCTGGGATGTGGAAATCATTTATTAAATTTTATGTTAAATGAAGTCAGAGTTCTGAAGCCCATTGACGTCAAAAGCTGAATTATATAAAAGATATAAAACTACAGATGGCATTGCACAGCTTAAATAATGTGGTGTTTGACAGAGTAAAATAGGCAATGGTGACTCAAGATCCATTGTTGCCTAAATCTGAAACTGTGGTTGTTTACCAAGTGGTTGTTTACAAAACTTTGTAGAAACACTTGTCTTATGTAATTCAAAGCCACAAAAATACAACAAAATAATTATGTACTCCCTTAGAAAAGCTAATGCCCCTTGTCGATCACAACAGGTAACCCCTATCATACTCTTCTGAGTAAGGGCCTACAGTATGCTCAAAACTGTACATAGTAGGTACTATGTACATGTATCATTCTTTACATACATTAAGTGGCCATAGTAGCTACTGTAGTGAACTACAATTTTCAAGCAGCCAGTAGTTGTTGACTACTTTTTTAAAACAGTAACTGCAGTTATGGCAAACTACGTTTTGCCTAAAAGTAGCCAAGTAGTTGACAAACAGCAAATCGCTATTCGCTACTTTCTAAAATTGTTAGCAACTTGATAGAATAGCATGATATTGAGACACGGTTTGCTTAAAATCAATACTCAATTTGCTTCTGAACACTGTAGTGCTTACAAAAATGTTGCTTTGTGTTTACTGTTGCTACTCGTAAGTCGATTTGTTAAAGGTCACATTACAGCCTGAGTTAGTAGATCATGCTCCAAATACAGTAAAACTAAAAAATATAGCATAGCGAAATAATTTGCTACATTTTTAAGCTGTAGGTGTAGTCAGCAGTGAACTACCTTTGTTCAAAAGTAGCAGTAGTGTACTGACCACATATTTTTGAAGTACAGTAGCTGTAGCTATAGCAAACTACAAAAATTTTGTAGTCAACTCACCCTTGGTAATTGCTCAACAAAATAAATGGTTAGAATGTGTGGTGATACTGCAATTTTCAATCAACTTTGGAACTCCAAATATTTTGTCGAAAATGAATGTTTGGACAAAAAGTTTTATCAGCATGCAATGTATATTGTCAAGGCGGTGGCACTATGTTGTCAAGGCCATTTTTGAAAGTTGTCCAGACAATTTTCTAGCATACACAGGTTTGAGAATATACCGTAAACCTCCGACTATAAGCCCTGGGATTATATTCTTTCGTAAGCGATTTTTGATGGGCTTATACAAGGGGGGGGGGGCTTATATACGGGGGGGGGACTTATACATGGATGATCTTTTGTGTTACTGTAATAGTGATAAATAAATATAGTAATAGTAATAAACAAGTGTTAAGCATAGTAATAATAGTGATTAATAGTGGTAGTGATAAATAATAGTGATAAACAAGTGGACTTATATTCGGGTAGGCTTATATTTGGAATGAGGTGAGCATTAATACATGTGGTGGGCTCATACACAGGGGACTTATACTCGGGGGGGGGGCTTATAGTCGGAGGTTTACAGTAATGCACCCAGACCCACCCCACCCCGGGATATAGGTGGGGATTGGCTTTGAATAGCATACGAAAACAAACAAATGGCACACCATATGGAACAGAATTTTCTACCAAAAGACAAAAAATGCCCCACAAATGGGGGGAAATTGTAAGTCGTGTGAGCAAATTATGAATGAATATATTTATAAAATACTTCTCCATTTCACTTCCTATATCTTTGTCACATGTTATAAAATGGTAGAATCCAGGGCTCCCATTGGACAAAATGGCCAGTAACAATCCCCACTATCTTCCCGGTGTAAATCGGCAGAATGACAATTTAACCAACAAATTCCCAATATGGTTGGGACCGAATTCGATGACAAAATCCCCACCAAATCCCTTCACGGTCCGGGGTGGGGGAAGGAGGAGGGGTTTACTTGTGCCTGGTGCATAAATTTCAAGGAAATTATTTTGGAAATTTGTACAGTATTTGTTGATATAAAATACGCCATTTAATTTTTTTAAAAAAACTAGATCAATTGTTAATTCGCTCGTATACATACCTTTATTTGTTTATTTTCAAGATTAAAGTCAGGAAATACAAAGGCGCAGTTGGTTACCACAGTTATCATTTCTAACCGAGACAACTCAGTTGCATATGCAAGTTCTGAAGTTACTTCGATATTTTGCGATGCAGGTGAATGACCAGGTTCACAATCATTATGGGCTTCTGGTCTTTGATTTCCATCATCACAAAACAGGGAATGAGAGAGCCCAGTGGACTGAGAGTGACACTCAATCTCAGGATTCTCAGTCAATGTTGAGCTATTTATATGAACACTTGACAGTGTTGAGGCTGTACATAACCGATTTTGCGAGCTGCTATAAACGACGTGCGGAACTCTGACTTTTGATATATCTTTATTAGGTACTTCTTCGAAAAGATATTTCCTCTTACCATTAATAACAACAGTTTTCCAAGGCTTCGCTTTTTTCCTCCTTGAATTATCCGCCATCTTGGCTTACTTTTTAATCACGCTTCATTACTATTCAGTCAGCGGTAGATGCCATTGTGGTTGGTTTAATTTGCGTGGTTATGTACCCAGATTCTGACCTACATAATACCTCCCTGTGGCTGCAAACAAGATCTTTTATTGCACAGGCATGTTTAATTAGATATTTTGCGTTATTATACCTTGCGCTAAAAATTTTAACGAGCAAGCGTCATTATAAATGAACTTTCATTCCAATTAGCAAACATAATAAACGGAATAATAAACGTACATTAAACGGCTCGGTTGTTACGTTTCCACTTTGCATGGTTGCATCATCCAAATATCGATCTGATGTACTGTATCTATTGCGAGCGTCAAGTTTGTGGCAGCAATGTTCTTGCGATAGTAACTACTAGTTTATATATTTCTCTCAGTCTTGTACTCACCTCCTTGACAAGTAATCTTGTATTGATATCTGGAATATCTTGAATACATATATGAGGTACGGCATCTTTTAGATCTCCAGAGACAATATACTTTGCAAGAGCTCGAGACATTCCAGGAAAACCAATGTGACCATGCAGGAAGGCAAATGCAATTAACTGACCAGCATATACAAACAGCTTACTTTGAACATGTTCCTCACAGTGAATTGGCAACATATGATTGGCTTGACCTTCAAATAACATATAGCCTTTATTTCCTTCTCTTAGGCCTTTGACAATCATGTATGCCAACTCTTTTGTTAAACCTTTTGCATCAATTCCTTCTTCTCCAACAAACGTTACATCAGGCTGTTCGCAAAGCTGTAGTTCTCCTCTCTTAAGTTTTTTAAAGAGGTTGCGAATGAGAGCAGGTGACTTTCGGTCAATAATTAGTTCTGGTCTGTTTGAACTCACTTTAATCATATTTCGTCTATACATTGAACAAGCTTCATGTGCAGGCATTTGCACAGTATTTAGAGGGTAAGCAACTAAAAAGAAAATAACAAGATACAATTGTGTTTAATGATATTTGCTGTGTTGGTGTAATGTACTCAGGTGAATAAGATGCTTGTGATGTTACTCTGAGTGTATATCCACACCGGGCAGGCTTGAAAAATATGCCTGGCCACGGTGGGAATCGAACCTACGACCTTTGGAATACTAGCCCAATGCTCTACCAACTGGGCTACGCGGCAGAGCATTGGGCTAGTATTCCTAAGGTCGTAGGTTCGATTCCCACCGTGGCCAGGCATATATTTCAAGCCTGCCCGGTGTTGATATACACTCAGAGTAACATCACAAGCAAATTGTGTTTAACTTGCCTTAAACCGAAGTAATTGAAAAGAAGAATTATGCAGACACTCGAAAGTTTACGTAAACATTAACAAAAATTTAGGTCATAGGTAGCAATTTGCAAGACCATGAAAACTGCATGCGAGCTACTAATGTACAGTAACAAATTTTGGGCCTTTAAGCTTTGAGATAGTACTGTATGTTTCATTCTTGCTGCTCGCGACACTCATGTAAGAAGAGTTTACCAAAAGCCATTGATGTCACTCTAGCTATACTCAGGTTTCTACCTCTCACAGGGAATGTTAACAGAGTTGTTTGAGATTAGGGTTAGCCCTCTAAAACTTCAGATGTGCCTCGCGGTCAACCAGGAGTCATTTATAGGGTGACAACCACAGCACGCCCACACTCTGTTACCAGAAAGGTAAAAGTAATCAAAGGGGTTACTATTGTTTTACAGCAGTAACAATAAGATCGATATTTACAGTACAGTATCATGCAAGGAATATGTGAACCTCTACATAATACAATGTGACCATAAAGCTGAATAAATCTATGTAATGTTCAATGCATCCATCAGGTACTGTACATAATGAACCAGTTGCATAGATGAAAATTTGAAGATTATCAGCTGAGTCCTCATTGAGCTAGATATGTTCAAAAATATTTCTCCTTTTGCATAATTAAAGTTCAGAGAGTTCAATATGAGAGTTCAGACATAACTAGCACTAGCAATACATATACAACTTACTTCCTTCATTTGAATCAGGATATTTGCTAGATTCCTCTTCCTCCACATTTATTACAGTAACCTGAGTAATTTCTATAATTATACAGGTATAAACATTACTAGCTGGTTAGTTACACTGGCGTTCTCATACACCAGCTGACCAGCATGGCAATCGTATACGACAAGTCGCATTGTGCCTTTAGGCCTTTATACATACCATCATCGCTCAAAATTGATGATATTGCAGAATTTATATCTCCATGCGAATTCTGCAAATGTCTCATCAGGTCATTTTCTGATTTGTTTGGAAACATCAGAACAAGCTGTTGACAATTTTCTGAAAATACCAAACAAATTACAGTACGTCTACAGTAAGTGGGGCCACTTACAAAACACTAACCAATCACATTGCAGAACAAAAATCTAATCAAACTAAAGCTCGTCCAATCAAAAGAAAGATTCAGGAAGCCATTAACTGCAGTGTTTACTTTTACAAGTCTATTTTTACCGTTTGACATTCGTTTATTTGTTCAAATTGTTTTTGGCCTAATGCTGATTGGCTAATGTGCCGTTTGTTGATTTTTTCATTTTTTGTTCTGCAATGTGATTGGTTAGTGTTCTCTAAGTGGCCCCACTTACTGTAGACACACTGTAACACTTTGGATTACATAATTATCTTAAATATAGTCTATTTTCATTAGTTATCAAGCTGTATGAAAGCGTACAATACATTATTATTAAATAACTATTTTTAGCATTACTAAAATAAATCCCAAGTATGAAAATGTGCATATACAGATATAACATGTAACCAACCTTGATGGCTGTTGATGGTTGATGACTGATCATTTGTTGATGACTGATCATTTGTTGATGACTGATCATTTGTTGATGACTGATCATTTGTTGATGACTGATCATTTGTTGATGACTGATCATTTGTTGATGACTAACTATTTGGTGATGACTGATTATTTGGTGATTGCAGATGGCTTGTTGAAAGTATGTCATACCCCTCCTCATCAGATTCATAATCAGTTTCCTTGAAATTTAAGTCATAATCATCAAGCATCATAGTATTATAATTATAATGAACATTATATTTGCATGTATTACAATAGCATCGACCTTTAATTTAATTAATTACAATAATTTAACAGAAGATACACTCTGTATGATACTCTATTGCACCAGACAAGATGATTTGATTGGTTGGGGGGAAAAGCCAGTATACGCAATGCTCACAAAATAGAATAGTATTCTTGCATTTGGGTCACTCCAGAAAAGGTTTACACTCCCTCCAGAGGCAATTTCTGTTGTCTGGAAGGAGAAGGGGGAAAGATACTTCTGATAAAAGTAAATTGCACTAGGATGTCCGAATGGGTTAGGGGGTGTGCTTCCAATTTGGAGGTCTGGATGTTTTCTAGAGTAATCCATTGTCATGTCATAAAGAATGACAGCAAAATATATAATCCAACATTAAACCACTTTTTTAAGTGCAAAGTAAAAGTCTAAGAGACATGCACAGTCTATAACAATAAAAGCAAACCTAGCTTACCAGCAAGCCCAACTGTTTTTTTGCACGTATATAAATTGGTCCTTGTTTGGAAATTCCAATAATAACTTTGCCTGAAATTTCTTGCCCTTGTGAAACATGAAGTTCAGTAATATTTGAACCAATTGCTTTTACAAATTCAAAGCTGCAACCACAGAAATACAAAAAATACAAATTTATGCAAGTTAAAGTCATAGTATTATGTTCAATATCAAATGTCAGGTATCAATTTTAATATGCTGTTAACTACTCAAGCTGTTAAATGTTGCACCTTATCTCACCCATATTTTATGGGCAGGGCAGTACGCAGGATTTTTTTCACCAGGGGGCAGTGAGGCCTATATGCCAAAAAAAGTCCAAAATACATTTACCCAAAGAATAATTAATGTCATTCTAAAAATCGTAAATATATTTTTTCTAGGGGGGCACTTGGCCCTCCCTGCTGTGTATGGCCCCTGTTTATGGGGGTGTTTATATGAGCTCTACAGGAATGACTGGCCCTCCTAGGCAAGATCCTGCATGCTATTTGAAATCCTTAGGCAAAAAATGTGGGTTTCCGGTTTCCCAACCCTACCTAGCTTTTGGACACCAAAATCTTGACCCTACTTCTGATCATGCTTGTAAGTGTTTCCACTTAGAGGAAAACGTTTGTGGAAAATTGAGGCAATATTAGGGAAATTTATCTTTGGATGTGGAAGCACTGACAAACAAAATAGCCTCCGGTTGTTTATAGGAAAATAAAAAAAAAGTTTAAACCGACCTACCCTACCTAAGTTTTTACAAGAAGAAATAGAGAAACCCACATATTTTTTTGGCCTTATTGAAATTTGTTTTCGCTTATGTGGGAAAAGGGCCAACCCTCATAGGCGAGATCTCATTATAAAATTAAACTACCCACGAGCTCGCCTACAGTAATAGGGCCAGTGAACTGAAGTAGGCCTGGATATTTCCCATATAAGGGGGAGCATCCATACTCAATTTGCCACGAGAAAGGTCAATTTGACGTTTCTTTTTCATACCCACCCACTCACCCACCCACCCACCCTAGAAACGTCAATCCGTGGCAAGAAAAAAAAACAAGTGTGAATGCTCAAAAATACTTGTATTATTAAACAAACATAACAAATAAATATAAAGCCTTGATTTACCGTCTGGCAAAGTAAGAAAGTTTGTTTGTTTTGTATATTTTCCTTGACTAGGGAAAGTATTGTACAGGTTTGTGTTTTTAAAGTACGTATTACAAATACAATTTTATATTATACAAAAGAATTTTATATTGTACTTTTATAATATTCAAAAGTGTCAAACTGCCACAGGAAAAACGTCAAAGAAAATAACTCACACACCCACAAACGTCAAATTGACGTTTCTCGTGGCAAGTTGAGTATGATGCTTCCCCTAAATGCAACATGGAGGGCTAGCCCTGTAAGAAAACCACTGTATCCGTCTTATCCGTCTCAAACTCGGCTTTTAGAATAATTTTTTCACTTTAAATATTTAGCTTCTCAACAATATTCAATTGTATGATAGTTGTTCGCTGGAAGTGTTTCAGAAAAACACGATTTTGGTCTTCGTAATATAATAAATGAGCTGCAGGGAACCATTTAAGTGTTGTTTAACTTGTTTACGCAAACGAGCCAAGAGGGCTAATTTTATCACGTAAACACGAGGTGAAAACCAGCCCTACATGCAGGGCTCATGCAAACACCCCCTAAATTGCCTTTACAGTTTGACCAGTGACCACGTACCTTCTTAATTCACCTTGTCGGTCTCTCAATTTATTTTCGAACAATGCTTGTAGTTTATCCGGCAGTTCTTGCGCGGACCAGTTTTTGTTTACATGGAAACCATCCATAATGAGCCCTTTGTTATTAAGTTCAACTTTAGTAGTGAATTTGGGCACATTACTGTAACTTGGTGAGGGCAAAAGAACTACTTCTTTTAATGTAAATGAATCCGACTTGACTTTGTCCTTGCATGGTTGCACATAGGGTGATGCACGACGCCGTTGCGGTCTCACTTGACGATTTCGACTTTGTGCCCGGAGCGTACATTGTCCATAATTTTCAGTTGGGTGAAAATATTGTGACAGAGGACCAACGTTTGATCGTTGAGCTCTTCTCGTTTCTACTGGAAGAGAGAAAGAGCTTGACTGAGTCGATTCGGCACTTTGTTCGGTACTTGTGGCATTACGCGGAAGAGAATACCGTCTTCTGACTTCTTCCTCCACAGTTGTCGCGGATTGCTGTGCAGGTGCCCCACTTGTACTAAGAGCATTGGCTTCTGCTGGCCTTGTTCTTGTCCCATTGACCGTATTAACAATTCTTCTGACAAGTCCTTCTAAATTATCCATCTTTTAATATGTAAAAAATACTGATTCATGAAATTTATGTTTGGAAAAATGCGGGAAAACATTGTTTCCACTTCTGTTGTTTGGAATTCCATGGCTACAAAATTTTCGCACCAATTTTCCCGTCGAGCGAGACTAGGCGCTAGTTGATCAGGAAGTCAATTCTCACCACTTGATGTAAAAATATTTATTCGCAACTTGATGTATAAAAATGCAAACATAAAAATATACGTCTTAGTTGACATATTTAAAACAATGACTTGATATAAAAAATGGCGCGATTTGACAAGAAATTTAAACTTGATATAAAATTTGGTACAACTTGACATAATATTTTGACTTGACATAAAAATTGTTTTCTTTGACATAATATTTTAACTTGATACAAAAATTTGTCCAATTTGTTCAAGTATGTCATACTCAGTTTTTGTGATGTTACTCCACAACTCACCTCCGAATAACATTGTCGGCAAACCAACTGTTGTCCATATGTTAATTCCACAAATTGGATTTAAACCGGCAGGACGAACTCCTGCACTCATCAAACTTGACACTACTGCCTTGCCTTTCTGTGCCATCTCCAGTGTACGCTCTGTACTCGAAAAATTTCCACTTAGACGAATGCCAGCGTGTTCAGATGACAACTTCTCCTTGATCTGTTTTCCATAAAGTGTCCAGCATCTTTGTTGAACATTACGTCTATGTGTATTTACATGTTCTCCAAATGTGATAATATTCGTCTTTGTTACATTATAGTCGAACCTCCATTTTTTGCTGTACGCTTCCATAGTTCATATCATTTTTTGTAGACCATTGACACTTAAGGATAACAATGCCACAACGTCAGCTATTACAACATTTTTCACAGAAATTAATGAGTCAATATTAATTCCAACGTTCATCGTACTTAACTCTGCATTTATATCATTGTTAAAGCATAAGCACAACCATGGGAATATAACTCCACCTTGCTGAATACCTTGGCGAATGAGAAATGGTTCTGAGAGCAAATCATTATGAGCCACACGACAAGACAGATTTGAATACCATTTCTTTAATAATCTCCATGACTTGCCCTGTATTCCAAGATTGAACAGCTTAAAAAAGAGACCATCCATCCAAACACAATCGAAAGCTTTCGAAATATCCAAAAAACATGCATAAACTTTGCTTTCTCTCTCAACTGCATGGTGAATCGCTTCTTGCAATACAAAACTGGCCTGAACACAGCTTTTTCCTTTTTGATATGCAAATTGCATCTTATCTGGAACTCCATTTTTAATTAATATTGGCATCATTCGATCAAGGATAAGTCGTTCTAATATTTTGCCAATAACATTAAGAAGGGTGATACCTCTGTAATTATCTTTGTCTAGTTTATTCTTCTTTTTACCTTTAAATAGGGAATAGATAACACCAATTTCGACAGATTTAGGAATACCTTCCAATGCTCTAATTGCATTGAAAACGTCAGTCAGGACAACAAAGAACTGCTTCCCAGCATACTTGACGTGTTTGTATACAAGTTCATCCATTCCACCAACTTTGTTATTTGGCAACTTCAAACAAAGGTTGCTTACTTCCTCTGTTGTAAACGGTGTTTCTAATACGTCATTGGTAACATTAGTACTAAGATCCACAAACTCTTTCAGCTGTTGTTCCACAAATACTTTAAATTGTTCGTCATATACAGGGGACACTTTAGGCGTATATAGTTGTTCATAATGATCTTTCCACACGGATAGAAGTTCCTCTTTCTCAGTAATTAATTTGCCGTCAATTTTTAATTCATTACATACCGCTGAATATGATTTCTGTTTAGCTGAAATTTCTTTCTGGAAGCGTGAACGATCTTTATCATAAAATTCATCCATGTTCGAGAATTCATTTCTTTCGTGTTCAAAACATTTTCTACGTAAAAGTTTTCGAAATTCACATTTTGCTGACTTATATTCTCGAAATGATGCGTTATCAGAATTTCTCGGTCGCCCTTCTGCTATCCATTTCCTTCGACATTCCCTTGACTTTGTACGCGCATTTTTGAGATCATTCCAATAGGGACGTAGAATGGGGCGATTTCTCTTGCAGGGCAGAATCTCTTTAGCAGAAGATGATAAGATCTGCGTAATTCCAGATAAAACGTATTCAATATCCTGTTCACCAGCCATCGTATAGGAGTTAAAATATGAAAGTTTTCTACTCACAAGTTTTTGATACATTTTCAAGACGAATGGATTCTGGATCTTTTTCCACGAGACACGATGTTTCGTATTATTGGGAAGAGGCTTTATCCATTTGACAGGAAATGTCAAGCAGTAACATATAGGAAGATGGAAGGATAGGTTATCACTGTGGTCTTCGTCCACATAGCAGTAACGAACATGATGCAATTAATCTACTTTCATAAATATATGGTCAGTTGTGCTCAACTGCTCACCTTGTTGAGCAAAATAGGTTTCCACTGGTCCAGTGGTAAATGTTTGTGAGTTGACAGATCTCAGATTCCAAAATTTGAACTTATCGATAAGGGCTAGTCCTTGTCGATTTTTAGTATCAAAACTTCGAGGCCCACCATATTTTCCAATATGACCATTAAAATCTCCTGCCAGAACAATAATTCCCTTTTCATACAAGTTGTGAACTACATCGTCAAGGACTTTGAGACACTCTCGATATTTTGTGATTGAAGTGTTAGAAGATGGTAGGTAAACACTCAAAATAAACATGCATAGAGTAGGTGATAACCGTACCTGCGCAACAATAATTCTAGTTCCTCTAGGATATTAATTCTTGCATTTAACTCTTTTCGCCACAAAACTGCAACTCCACCTTTGCCTCTTCGCCATACTGAATTCATATTCAATTCTGTGCTCGACCTTCCCCAACCAGCAAAGTCTTTGTTGATTGAAGATAAAACATTTAAGGAATCCGGATATAGCCAGTGTTCTTGTATTATACAAATATCTGATTTTTTCAAACATTTTTCCAGAAAATGAACATTTGTCATCAGACCAGAACAGTTCCATGTGCATAGCCGTAATGACCATGTAGTATGTTTGTCATCTCCAGCCATTATACAAATGTTGAATAGTCATTCCTCTGTTTAAGAGGATTAGTCTTCTCCAATTTACTCTTCAGAACCCATTTTCGACAATGCACAAACTTTGGCCAAAAGTCTGATTGAGTGATTTGGGACGAAGCTGCTGCTGGAACATTAATCTTCGCTGAGACGGTTCCTTTTCTTTGACTGGGAAATATTTTCAGCAATGTTGGGATTACATTGCGTTTCTGGAGGTAATCCTGGATCTCTTTCTCAGATACCTTTTGATTGATAGCACTTAAGAAGAATGCACGAGTGTTATTTCTCTTTCGTTGAACACCAATAAATCTCTCTTCTTGAGGCTCAGTTTGCTCTTGCGAGAAGTTTTGTATGGGAGCACTAACAATAGTTTTGTTTACACAGACATTTTTCTTAGGACTTTTTGTTGCAGCCAATTTACTGGCATAAGTTGCTGATTTCATTAATTGGGACTGCTGACTTGAGATAGCATCTGCATTAACAGTTAGGTCTTGATTTTGCATTGTGGGGGGCAATAACTCTGTGTCTGCCGTGTTCGTTTGTGCTAACTCGTTACTTGCAATTTCATTTTGATGACCATTAACAAGGTCTTCATTTTCCATTGTGGAAGGCAATAGCTCTGTGTCTGCCGTGTTTGTTTGTCCTAACTCGTTACTTACAAGTTCATTCTGATGACCATCCGGCAGATTTCGTTCACATTTTTCCCGAAGAGACAGTATTTCACGATTTTGCTCATCCACAACACAGGGCACAGTTTTCTTTATTCCAAGCAATTTACACATTTCAGAAAACACCCGAGACTCAAAGTTCCTCCCCTGGTCTGAGTGTAATTCAACAGGCGTCCCAAAATGAGAAACGAATTGATCCACCAATACTTTCTCTACTGTTTCTGCCTCCTGGTTGGGAAGTGCATATGCTTCCGGTCATTTTGTAAAGTAATCCATAGCGATAAGAATATACTTGTTGTTATTCTCCAAAACTGGTAACGGTCCCAAGATGTCTACAGCCACTCGTTCCATTCCCGATCCCACCACGTAGGAAGCTAATGATGCCTTTATCTTCCTCGACAGACCTTTTCGTGCAGAACATAAATCACACTGAGCCCACCACTTTTTAACATCATCTCGTAACTTCGGCCAATCCCTCCCCCCTTAGGCAATCAATTTTATGGGAGTCACATGACCAGCAGTAACCAGGGTTTTCCACCAAAAACCCTGGCTTGCGAGGTTGGAAAGGAAACCCCTGGATTTATTAATTACTACATAACTTGTCGTTGTCTGATGTGTCTCATGACATGCTTGTAATTACAACATTCTATTATTGGACATGCAGAGTCGTGTTTACATCAGACAGGAAAATATATGTGTTTACATCAGACAGGAAAATATGACAGGCGAAAATGTGCCAAATGTCAAAGATACTGTGCAAGCAAAGGATACTATAAGCTGCAAATGAACTTTGATTGTGTAAATTATATTCCTATATAAAGTACTGACAGGAGTGACCGCTCTTGCTGCAAATTCTTTTAACAGATTCTGGGAAATCGAATGAAGCACAGCTTACTAATTCGGATTCTTTCACTAAACACTGGTCCAGGAGAAAAATTTAGAAGAATTACACATCAAAGATGTTTCTATGGATAAAACTTTGCTTGGGAATGCCGTATAATTACTATAATGCATGTTTGAATATTTCTCTGCACCCGTGACTTGACAACAAGATATTGTAAACAATGGCGTATTACTCGAGATGGAAGTTCAACTCGCGTCAAATTCAAAGGGATACCCACAACTTTGATATAATAAACTATCAGGATGAGGTAAGATCTCGACTATAGAATGTGATTTGTCCCCAACATCGGCGCCGAATTTGAGATTTTAGCCACTAATGTTGAGTAAATTTTTATATATTTCGGTCGACTTGGCATACGGGCATCTTTAAGTGAGCTTAGTTTGTCCACGATCTTGCAGTCATGAACTATTAAAATGTATCTTTATATTATGGTATAGAAATGTTTTAATGACACTTGTTTATTTTCCTGCAGCGCACCTCTAGATTTTCATAAATTTTGGGTACGGAATCGACCTCAAAATGGGTGTCTAGTCTAGAAAACAAATTCGGTTAGGATTTATTAGGATTTATACATAAATAGACAAAATACATAAAATATTCCAGAAAACTAAATACCATAGATTACGTTATAAGTGTTTATGAAAGTAACAGTTATGCACAGTGATAAGTAGCCAAGGCTTTCGAGTTGACCACTGCAGAATGGAAAAAAGCCTGAATGGAAAAAAGATTTAGCTGAAAAGAATACCCATTTTGAAACTTACACATCAAGTTCTTTCAAATGGAAAATTAAGGACTTTTAATTTCTGACGCGAAAACGATTGGACCGCTCTTAGGCAGACAGCCTCTTACGATGCCATCTCTGTAAGAGCGGTCCACTGGATATGAGTTCGGAAAATATTTTACCTTCAAACTTTGTGGTTAAAAAGTATTTCATACGATGTTAATATGGCCCTTACACATTTTGCTATATCTTTCGATATGGCCTTTTTCCCCCACTGGAACCGAACACCTTAATTGGCATTTCCAATCAGGGCTATTTTAATCTTGTCTTGGAATGTTAAATACTTTAATGCAAAATGTCATATATGTTTGCTTATAAATGCTTAAATACAGGGTTGTGTAAAAGTACTAAAACAAATATTCCCCTCAGGCTCAGTGATTATGAATATTCTCCAATAATCACCTCACCTTCAGCAAATAATTGTTAAATATTGCCAACCACTTAGTCAGGAATCCTGGCTTTTTTATTTTACATGTCCGCTGGGGTTAGGGTAAAACACTGACACAGACGGGATGACCCATTCTCCTTTAAAAATTTTTAAATGTCATATCCGTGTTCTGCCCAATCGGGTAAAACAAGGATATGGTAAATTATACTTTTAATAATAATCTGAATATTCGTTTTATTTACAACCAATTTTGCAGTTAAAACTGAATTACCCCCCAGTCCATATCTGCTAGCGGATTCGGACCCCCATGGTACATATCCGCTAGCTGATATGTACCCCCTTCTGTGGAATTGGACCCCCCCCCAAATTCACAGAAAGAAATTTTTCGATTTAAGAATTAATTATACGAGTAGTTGTGGACTATCTATGATGAAATTATAGATAATATATGTATTCTCAAGATCAAAATAACCAGCTTTGCCTAAAAATCTAACAATATTAACAGGCAATTTTTTTCAATGTCACGTATTTGCAATGAAAAGTGTTCAAACCTAAAATCTTTTTGGCATTCCTCTCAAAATTACTTTGTTTTAGCTTTATTCTTTAGTTCATACAGTTAGCTGCCTTTTTAAATGCATCTGCCAGTTGAGAAACATAAAATAATAGTTGAAAATTGTCAATTGAAATGCAATTATCAATGATGCTTTAAAATTGACGCCATATTTACAACCATATAAGCAAAACTTACTGAACTTCAGACATCATTTTCTCTTTTGTGTATCAGTCTAAAATCTCTTCATTATAGCATTATTTTACAGATAAAGCACTAAACATACTTTTTAAGTTTGTTTGCCGATTGAGAAACGTATCGATTTTGAATTTAGTCATAACCTCAAGTGATATATTATACGCATTACTCCATTAGTTTTGAGTGTGTGTTATGCAACATACAAAAAAACTTCTCTTAATAAAGTAATCCCAAACTGAGATCAAACATTTATGAAAGGTTTGCACAATATTTATTACTTAATAACAATATAATAACAAATTTATTAACAATAGCATGCGATTAGTATTAAAGTCTCAACATTAATTTAAAATTTCAAGCGTTTTGTGCTGGGTGATGCAAGTTCACATCCTCAGCAAAGCCACTCGCCTTCAGGTTCGTTCTCTACATGTTCACAAATCATGTGAAACCAGTTGTCACACAATTCACATTGGATCATGTCGGCCCAGCATTCAGGCATCAGGCAGTGACAAAATTCCTCAATTTCACAATGGTTATACTGTTTCTCGAATGGTACAGAGTTCTAGGGGTTCGCACAAGGAAATGGTTCGAAAGATCCTTTCTGTAGACTGGTGAGGAGATGTTGACGCATTTTGCTTTGGTCGTAGGTAACATGCGATGGGTTGGTGTTACCAGCTGCAAGTTCAGAAGCGAAGGCGATTGCAAAAACACCACAGTCGAATTCACCGGTTGGATTTGCCTTGGAGGAAGCTCAACTTCGAGTAGGTTGTTCTTTACAAGCGTGTGATAACATTGCGAGAGCTGTACTTTCATGGACGGCGTCAGCTGTTTACAGTGCATGCTGTCATACAGTCGAACAAAACCATTGATAGATGTTGAACACACCCAATGATCATGACCAGTATGATGTATTTGAATACACTCTTCTTTAACTGGTACAAAAGACGTTTGGCTCAAAATCGTATCTTGCCAACCACTAATGTTGTTGAATTGTTCACGGAGAATTCTTTGTGCTCTGTTGATTACATTATCATCAAGTTTAGCGTTACTGAGGATCAGATCGAAATCGCGCCTGTCAGCTTTCGTCAATTCCACTTGTGATGGTTGTTTGCCCAGTGGTTCGTGATATATCTTTAGCCTTGCACTATTGACGGGTTTCTTGAGCTCAGTGCCCCCTTTGTTTGAAAGTTTGTATACACCTTTCAACATGACATTGCTGACTGTGTAAGGACCAGACCATACTGGTTCAAGTGTACCGCCCTTTCTATCTTTGTTTTTCATATTCTTCAATAGGACAACATATCCTACCTAATTAGATACAAATTTAATAAGTTGTAAATAAGTTTAGAGCTATTCTTAAAGGGGCCCTACAGTCATTTTTTATTCAAAAAGCCACTTTAAGTAGGGGACTCCACAGAGATTTGTTTGGTTGTATCTTACATGCAGTATCCATGACTACGAGTACTTCTGCATACCGGAAGATGCATGCTGTGGTGCGCATGTCAAGTAGTGACAATAACAAAAAATGTAAACAATGGCTTTTCGACTAAAAAATGACTGTACGGCCCCTTTAAGGGGAACCCATCTTAATAGAGCCTTTCGACAATTATGTCAGATATCTCAACTTTGAGCCTCATTCTCATGTTTCAAGTGATTGGCTCACAATTGGCCAAAACAAGATATATGACGTAATTATCGAAAGGGTCTATTGCAGAACAGTTTGTTAACTGTTAGAGCTGCTGCGTAAAATAATAATAATACCTTGAATGGTTGTGGCTGGTGTTTTGCATCATATGCTTTCTTCTGTCTTTCTTGTGCTTTTTTCAACATTCTTCATGGCTTGGGCTTTTATTTGATTCAGAATAGCAATCATGGAGTTAACTTTCTCCTCCAAATCTTTCGGCAGCGTCTGTCACTGGATTAACTTGTGGAGCTTTCTGGCTTTGATTTGATCTTAATTTCAATAGGCAGAACAGGTGCACGACCAAACATTAGCTCAAATGGTGTGAATTTGGTAGAATCGTTCTTACTTGTTCTATAGACAAATAAAACAGCTTTCAAGTGAACATCCCAATCGTTTTGATTGCCGTTGACAAATTCCACCAAGGTTGACTTCAGCGTCTGGTTCATTCTTTCATCGAGACCATTTGTTTGCGGGTGGTAAGCAGATGAAATTCTGTGGTCCGTTCCACATAACTCAAAGAGCTTCTGGTTTACTTTGTTCACAAACTCTCGACCTTGGTCCAACATAACTATTTCTGCAACACCATACCTCGTGATGAGGTCATACAAAAATTCCGCTACACCTGCAAAACAGACAATACGTCAAAAACTTGTTAGAGATCAGATTTAAACAGTAATATCCCTTTTCCTGGCACATATGACTAACAAACTACAAGATTTTGTGATTTGTGAAGATACTTGCCTTCAGCAGATTTGCTTGGTAGGGGAGCAGCTTCTGGCCACTTACTAAAATAATCAGTGCATGTTACCATGTACTTGTTGCCATGAGGTGTTTCTGGCAAAGGACCGACCAAATCAATACCAATTCAATGCCAAACGATGTCTTTCACTTTGATGGGATGGAGTTGTGAAGAAGGTTTGTGAAACTTTTTCGAGTTGCGTTGGCAAATATCGCAGTGCTTTACAGTTTCATCGCAATCTTCAGTGACTCTAAGCCAGTAGTACCGAGATGCAACCTAAAGATAAAGACCAAAGAAAAAACCATTTAATCTATACAACCACATTATCGATTAAACTTGAATTGTATATACTGTATACAAACCTTATCTCTCATCTTATCACACCCAAAATGTCCTGCCAGTTTATCGGTGTGGCAAGCTGTCAAAATTTGTTTCTGCTCTTCCACGCCATAAACCCATCTTCGAGGCTGGCTATTGCTTTTACCAACATAAAACAAGGCACCGTCTTTAAGAACAAATTTTTCCGCTTTCTTTCGGAGATTTCTTTTCTGGTCTTTTTCAGCACCACTAGGATAGCTATCATCACATATATAATTAAAAATTTCGTCGTAGGCATTCTTTTCGTCCATCGCAAAGAAGCGTGTTTGCTGTAAGACCAACTGCAAAAAGTTTATCGTTCCATCACTGCGAAATAACAATTGAAATGTGTTGGTTTGATTCAATGGTTGTAGGATTTTTTCTTTCAGATCGTCATTTTTATCTTATGAGTCATCGCCCGTTATTGAGATGCTAATTTTATAAAAAATAAGGGTTTAATGAAATGCATCACTTTGTTATAGGTATGTTAAGGCAAAAATAATTTGAAATATATTTTCATTCACTTTCATTTTTAAATTCTCGCCATTTTTGAAGTAGTTTTGTAGATTTTGTTATATCCAAATATTTAGAAAAGAATATATCGGGTAAAATTTATGTTATAGAAGTATTGAAACCTTTGACATTTCTTTGATAAGAAGGAAATATTTTGGTTTATTATATAGTAGAGAGAGATATTGAAAAATACACAGTGAGAGATAAAAAGTCGTATCTTCGCACCGACATGTAATATTAGGCTGGATCGATATACCGGATATATCCGATATACCGGTATTTGTTTAGATATCGGTTTGGCGATATTGACAATTTAAAAATACCGATATACCGACATTTCGGTATTTTGCTGCCTAATACCGAAATGAAATGCTCTTTCAAGTCAAACTTGCTTACAATCACGTTTAGAAAGCAAAGTTAATACTCACAGATGCATGATTTTGTTCTTACAGTTCTAGCGGCTTTGGTTTAGCAATACCAGACGTCTTGTTTATTAAATCGCCTTCAGGAAATATAAAAATGGCGAAATTTTTAAAGGAAAATTTCGACAAAAAAGAAAACTTTGATTTTGGAAGGTGGAAGTACTAGCATTTGCGAAGCAGCGAAACTGCGAAAACCTTTTCTGGCTTTTCAAGTTTTTTTACATGCTTGCTAACTTGTTTATGTGTTAGTTTTAAAAATGCAACGTTTTTTATGTTTACAACTGTTAGCAGCTTACTGAAACACTATCTGAATTTATATACAAAACGAATATTTTTCTGAATGATTCAACACTTCGACGCCCAATCGACGGACTACTGTTATATAATTACCGCTTAGCGCTGTTAATTGTTAACATAGCTTGATAATGCGAATCTTGTGACATTTATACCAGTATGTGCCACATTAATATTTTGTCAAAACTTGATTTTTCTTCACGGTCAGCACTTCAGTTTGGCTTAAAAAAAACTCGTTAAAAATACCGGAATACCGGTACTTACCGGTATTCTGATGGCGGTATATCGGTATTTGCGATATCGATCCAGCCTATGTAATATTCTCTACTTATAATCTGGAGAAATAGCCGGTGATTGTCTACGCTATAGATGACGAAAATCGCCGCTTGGCAGCCTCTATTGGGAACCGTGCGTCGCAATGATAAAATATGCGAGGGGTCCAAATTCGAAAGGGGAGTCCAAATCCGCTAGCGAATAAAGACCCCCATAGGTCCATATTCGCTAGTGGATATGGACTCCCCGGTCCATATTTGCTAGTGGATTTGGACCGGGGGGTCCATTCTGAGTGGGTCCAAATCTGCTGGGACACTGTGATTGCAGTCCCATGAAATCAGAAGATTCATATGTTTTCTATTTCTTAAACAGGGAACTTAAACATTAAGTTAACGTATTCCAAATACATTTTAAGGTGGTCATCTCCTCTATATTAACTGACTTTTGACCATTTTCTCAAAAAAAACATTTTTGTTATTTTGAGCCCCTTAACTATTGTACTTGAAGACTGCATAGTTTATTTTTAAAAAAAAACATTATACAAGGCGAAAAAAGCTTTCAAAGTTACCTTGTTTGAAAATTTACCCCATAGCAACGCCATAGCAACGCATTTAGGGACAAAATTCGCTCAAAATTTCATCCCAAAATCGCTTCAAACAAGTTCATTTATGTTTCTCCTTCTGGTGTATGGAATTTAGAGTCTTCTGACCTAGCTGCATTGTGATTGGTTGCTTTGGGGAGCCATGGCAACCCGTTTTCTTTGTCTGTCTTGTGATCGATCGCATTTGCATTATCTGTGAAATTGTCTACAAAAACCTTATAGGCTGTTTGCCGTGGCACAATATCGTTCACTTTCATTAAGCATGTCGTGGAACTGAGAAAACTTTACATAACTTACCTTTTTAAAACACCAGGAGTCTGAATCCAAAAAGTTGCCGCTCCTCTGACCCGCAGTTTTTTCGCAAAATCCATTTTAATTCTTACTCCTTCGACACGCTTCAAATAATATCGCGCCATTTTGAATTTTTATCGCGTAAGTTACCATCGCTCAGAATAGTGATTATTCTGCCCGAATACTCTGAATTCGCAGTAAATTGTCATTCTAACCAATGGAATTTATTCAAACATAAATAGTTCCCATCCACTGAAATGAATATAACTGGAACGCTACCTTCAGATAAACTGCCTATCTTTTTCTTGAAGCCAAATCTTGACCCCGGTCAACACCCGCGTGTTTATATCATGAATAGAGACCTTAAGATTGACGTTTACGGCAAAAGTCAAACCGCTAGCGAATTTTTGATTTTACAACTCTATTATAATAGCTTTTACACCAGTTTTGAAATATGTTACACTTATTAAACTTGTGCTCTTTAGCAATGATTTAAGAAAGCAAATTAACCACAAATCATGCCATTCACCAAAGCAGTAAATTAAGATTTGGCGTTTGAAGTTGACGTTTGGCGTATACATTTCATGCTTTAACGACTACAAGCCCTCGTAGCAGTTCAAGCATGAAATTTATACGCCAAACGTCAACTTCAAACGCCAAATTTTAATTTACTGCTTTGGTGAATGGCATGACTAGTGGTTAATTTGCTTTCTTAAATCATTGCTAAAGAGCACAAGTTTAATAGGTTTAACATATTTCAAAACTGGTGTAAAAGCTATTATAATAGAGTTGTAAAATCATAAACCTCGCTAGCGGTTTGACGTTTGCCGTAAACGTCAATCTTAAGGTCTCTATTGACTGATTGAGCTCTCTTCGGCGTCTTCGCATGCGTGAATTAAGACTGGGACTGGCTTTCAAGTTTAGATTCATATTTGCGGTTGGAGGTAGCGTTCCCGTTATATTCATTTCAATGTTCCTATCAATGATTTTAAAGGTTGTCGGGGCGCGAGATAAAACTTTTGCGGTATTTTAGAATATATTTCGCTTTTATTCACGGATTTATCTTCTTGGTTAAGCAATCTTGTATCAAAAAACTTTAAAGGTCTTCCTCGCTTGGGGGGGGGGGGGCATTTGAGCTGGGAATGCTGGGTAAATTGGGCGCTTGCCCTCTTATAATATCGGAGGCCCAGCAAATTTGCATACTTCCATACGATATTTGGGTATTTGCGAATTCAGTCTCCAATGATGAAATAATATTCGATATTATTTGAAGCGTGTCGAAAGAGTGAAAATATATTACAATGGGATATAGCTATTATTCGTTTTCACCGCTGTCATCGGAACTGTAGTCGTCGCACGAGTTGAAGGTGTCCGAATCACTCTCCTCGTTTTCTTGATGACCGTCGCTTCGGTTTTGACAATCAATGCACTGACAAAGATCTGAACATTTTAATGATGCCCTCAGGCAAGAACATCTTCTGTTTTCACAGCCTTTTGCACACTTGCAATGCACAAATTCCAGGATTGAGTCAGGAGCTGCAGGTATCGTCATCCATTAAACTGCAATGTTACCTTCGTCATCTACTTTCCAGCTGTGGTTGTAAAATGTCGGCATATTTAATACTGGTTGCATTGCATGTCGCCAGATGTAACATTGAAAGTTGGCTCGACGGATGTGCTGGTCAAGGGAATCCTGATTTGGCGGCAACAGTTGTTCTTCATATTTCCCGCTTTTAAATAATTGATAACGGATAGAATTGACATCAGAGCATTCTTCAAAACCGTACAAGTGACATACATAAGTGGACAAGGCCTTTTTCAATTCGTTGGACAGTTCCGTTTCTCTCCCTAGATTTCCAAACGTGTTTGCGTATTCCTCTTTCATTCTACAAATTTTCATGGCAGTTACCTTACCTTTACCGTAAAACGCACTTGTTGTATCACAACCTTTAAAAGAAAATAGGAAACTAATGAGAAGCATAAATTTATGTTGTTAAATAACAGCTTGTTTTAAAATTAAATTTCAGCATAGTCGGTCTTGAGCAACTAAGGCAAATCATAAAACATGCAGATTTTGATTGACTTATATGAGTAGATTTCTCAATTTTAAATCTTACAACATTTAGCACCAACCCGTGAATGCATGAAGGCCTAGCAACGAGCTACACCACTGGTCCCCCAAACAATGCTTTATAGTGCTGAGTGAGATGATCCGTCTTCTGTTTCCAACTCCCGTTTCGAAGAAAATGTCCGCATTAACGTTTAAACAAGCATTAAGTGCGATGAAAAACACATCTATATCTGGACTTTTGATTACGATGTTGTGGTATAATTGGGAAGCATGTCTTGCATGGGCTATCATCCGCGTATCTGCCTCTTCATGGTCACACGACAGCTCTTCAACTGTTCATTTGACTGGATGAAGCGGTGGCACTTATCTTCATGCGCAAGAACTACCTCGACTCCCCGTAGTAAACGTGCATCAGCTTTCTTCCAGGAGGCGAAAAGAAATCTCATCAATTCTTCTTTATTTTCACCAGGTGACATAAACTTTTTCCATTGACGAGGCACTTTCTGATGCTCACTGTATATTTTTACCACTTGCACGCCATTCGCAGCTCGCCTATCCCTTTCCAGATCCTTAATGCTTTCACGTGGATATCGATCACATACAAAATCCACCCGTCTGCCGTTCGAATATACAGCACTGTTGACAACCTTAATAAGCAGTTGTGTTGCTAATTCACCGAATGTTCGTGGGATGGGTGTCAACGTTTGCAACATCGCCATTGCATCTAAAATGCATGCTTTCTCATTAGCAGAAATCTCACTGACTGTAGACCCTTCTACTTCCCCTTCAACTGCGTGGAGCAGCTTTGCTTTCGCCGTTTTGACAAGATCTCCTTCATTTGTTGCCAAAGAGCACGGAAATGGTCGGAGCGAATATTTAAGAACATCTTCCATTTCCAAATTGCGGCTTTTTGCAATCAACAACATCTTCGTGAAAAGGATTTTGGAATTCTTCATGGCCACAAGTTCTCCTTTCTTGTTCTTATTCGTCACTTTCTTACCCAAAGAAGAGAATGTTTCCAACTTCGTTTTCTTTATCGTTGCGTAAATGTTTGGCTCGTCTCCGAGAATGTTGTTCTTCATGAAATTATCTGCAGCAGCTTTACCTTTTTCTAACATTGTTTTCATATCTTCGGCAACTGCCTGGGTGGCAACTGCTCCGCTTGCCAAATGCACCAACTCTTCTTTATCGTTCTCAAAAGGATTAATAATAGATTCTACTGTTTTAATGACATCCATAACTGCCTTCTCATCTGCTTCCACCCTTGTCTTGTCTAAATCTTTCCTGCTCCTACAAGATACATAGTGTTTGGTTTAGTCCAGTTCGATACCCGAACGAACTTGAATGCTAATTAAACTGCACATGCATGGTAAGAAGTAAGAATATTAAACTACCTTGTAACTTCAGTTACATTTGCCATGGCTTCGCACTGTCTCGTTATAGCACTTCTCTCTGCTTGTCCCATTAACCAGCGATGCACAGCTCCTTTATTCAGTGTCATTCCAATCAGTCCACCTTTCATTTTAGAATCCCTGCAGAAAGTTAATGGTTATTAGATGTGGTTATTACAGCTCTATGAGGAAGATGAAAAGGTGGCAAAGAATGGCTGGAGCACTTATACGCACAGTTTTTGACCCTGGGCATAAATGTTTGGACAATGTTAGGGTTAACATTACTGATAAAACCAAAATTGGTAAGCCTGCACAAAGGGTGGCATTTTGGGTACACAAACTAGATACGTTTGTACCTAGGAGATTATATTTGGGATTAAAAATAATTATATATAATTATACCGTAACTTACCTGTTCAAGGTCTGTTCAATGGTTTGGTCACATGTGATACTGGAAAACGGGTAGTTTTGTTGCCTTTGAACAGTCCAATTTTTAGAAATGTTAACAGCCACGTCTAAACAAGAGGAAACATCAAAACTTAGACAATTGTATAAAACTGACACAATAGAACAAAGAACGTTAATAATACATCACCCAAAAGAAAAGGGAATAACTTGTATATTTTGATTCAATTCGTTTAAATGTTTGGAATATCGCTTCCTCGAAAAAAGATCTGATCAACAGAAAGGACAAATATTCTTACATGGATTAGTTTCTTGGAGGCACATCATTTCCAACCAGTAACAAGATGCATATCGAGAATAGTTCACGCGATCGGTGGCGAAAAACCATGGAATCATCGATCTTAATGAACTTAAGTGAAGAGACCAGTCCGTAGTTCTTGTTGCTCTGATGTAGAGTAATAGTAATTGTACCATTTCGATGTAGCTTGACCAGAAGGAAAACAATGGATTCTGCTCACTACGTTTCTTTACAAACATGTCGTACATAACTTTCAGTTCTGTAACATCGTTGCCTGCGCTGATCTCCAAAAACTTGTCCCTTTCAGAATCATCTTGCATAACTAGATTTATAGATTCAAGCTGGGTTTTCTCGCTAGTTGTTAAGGACTTCTCAAATGCTTGCAAACGCAACCTTTGCATTGCCTCGTAGACCATCTTGTGAGCTCGTATAGATCGGTTATAATGTTTTCCAGATAGGACACCTTTCATTGATCCGGGTGCTACAATTTCTGATTCTATCATAATATCCTAAAAATAATTTGCACATTTAGTATATATTCAAAGAACATACAGGGCGGTGGAAACGTTTTGTGATTGGTTTTCTACAAACATGATTGAAAACGTTTATTGTCTTTTCCTGTCTTAATCAACCAATCACAAAGCCTTTTGAAATAGGTATGGGTAAGCAACAAAAAACGGCAACACTCACCTGTAAACCTGTGTCTTTGAAGATTTTAGAAATACCACTGCAGAAAGACATAACCGTATGGAAGTCACCGAGCCTGATAACCAGCCGTTTCTTCAATTCATCATGTTTCCATCTAATCATCTGAGCTTTGGCATATATTGCTTCGTCGAAAACTAAGACAATGTCGGGGACTTGAAGGCGTTGGCAAATCGAAACGCTGTGTTGAAGCAGTGTGTTGATGGTTGACATGTCCGTAACTGGAGCATCGATGACTGGTAGGGTAGCCAATGTTAGAAGAACATCGAATCTCTTTACATACTTGAGTGTTGAGTCCCGTCCATCCTGGCAAACTTTCTCCATTCTCAGACGCGTTCTTTCTGGACAAGAGGTATAGAAAATCAGCATTTCGACCCATACTTTGTTCATGGCGATAGCTTTCTTCTTCAAGCGAAATTTCGGAACTTTCATTTCGCAGGCATAAAGTCCCTTTTTCTTTGCTTGTATAATGGATGATGCTGGTTTCTGGTGCTACAATTGTATGGTTCTTTTTACTCACACTTATCCTTTCTCCAAGTTTCTGTCCGGCTTCTTTATTCTGCACAATAATTCTGTTTGCAACATGCGTTGTTCCTTTCCCAGAAACCGTTTCCTCGTTGAAATCATTGTTGTCCCAAACAATTGTAGTAAATGCTTCTGGGATGATATTTCGTGGAATAGTGATTTCTTTTCCTGCACCGTCGCTGCTTAATATAGCCAACGCAGTATCATGTCTGTAAACGGTAGCTGTTGATGCTGTATGCCCTAAACCATGTAAGATTCTAAGTAATCGCACTGACCCAGTCATTTGTCGCACTGTCATCCCGAGAGCCAGTGACTTATGAGTTTGTTTCTTGCCGTTGGATTCTGCATAAATAAGATCTTGTGCTATAGATACGACCTTTGCATTCTCGCTTGAACTGATATCAACCATTTGATTCTCGACGGGTTCAGAGGAGAACCCAAGACACCATGCCAAAAAATTATACAACTTTACTGGAATTGATTGTCCCGCTAACGATAATGTCAGATCATGTGAGTCAGGTGGCCACTCCGAATTAACACCTTTACTTTCGGTTAAAAGCTTTCTTACTTCCAATGCAGTGAAATGCATATTTTTAGTCATAGAAACTCCGTCTCTGTTAAAGCAATTATCGCTGCCGTCATGTTGGTCATCATCATCACGTTCATCCTCAGATTCACTTTCCAATGTGGACATGTCCTGATAAGTATCTGCAACATCGCCTGCGGTCATACTATCTATGTAAACCAGTGTCCCTTTGTTCATGGTCTTGGAGGTATGGAAAACAAGTTGTGGATATCGATTTTGGATTCTTTTTTTCAGTCTTGCGGCCTGGTACGGTACATCAATCTTTTCAATCGCTTTGACGCAGCTAACAAATTTTCTGAGCAAGTAGGAAAGCAGTAACACTTCATTATTTGGGATTATTCGTTTCTCAATAACTTGAACGCAAAACTCATCAAACACTTTGTCGTACAATGTCGGACCAACAATTTTTGGCTTTCTCGTAAGGCATTTTGTGTATGTCAGATAACATCGTCTGTGGTATCTGGCCTCAATCGCGACGCAGTCTCTTCCTTGGATTTGGATCAGAATAGTTTCGTCATTTCTCATCAATGCTGCTTGTTCAAGAATTCCAGCAGTTAGGGTTTGGACCACTGACAACTCCTGTTTAACACGTTTCTTCGTCACCTAGGTATACGAATTTTCCGATGTTAAGCAAAACTCTTACTGTTCTCAGGGAGGATAAAGCATGGGTCTCGTTATACCAGCTAAGTAACTGCGCAACAACCCAAACTGAACAAAAAATAAAAGATAGAGATCAACATACCTTATCTGTGATGTATAAAGCTCCGGGCCGTTTACAGATTAAGCAAATTTCCGGTAAAACATTTGAAGATTGACAAGGATGATGGAGACTAGAAATAGAACATGTAGTTCGGGCGACTTTTCCTGACTTTGGATTAACATCTGTTTGTTCGACACTTTCTTCAGACACACGTTTTCGACCTGCATTAGCAATCGTGGTTTTAGCTCTTTCAAGCTTACTTATGTTAGTAAAATTTCGATAACAGTCCAGATGGTAGCCACAAGTTTCTTTAACGCTGGTTACGTTCAACTCGTCTGAATCATCTATAAACTCGAACAATTTTTTCGCGACTTCCGTAAATTCTCTATATGATGAAGACAGACTTAACCACTGTTTTCTAATGTCAATTATTTTCGCTAAAGTTTCTTCTGTCAGTTTTTTCATTTCTCCATCCTTACTGTCGAAATGAATTACGCATACTGGTATCGCATCACTTGATGCTCTGCAAGTATCCATCTTTTCACAATGTAGAATTCGAATAAATTCCATTGGTTAGAATGACAATTTACTGCGAATTCAGAGTATTCGGGCAGAATAATCACTATTCTTAGCGATGGTAACTTACGCGATAAAAATTCAAAATGGCGCGATATTATTTGAAGCGTGTCGAAGGAGTGAGAATTAAAATGGATTTTGCGAAAAAACTGCGGGTCAGAGGAGCGGCAACTTTTTGGATTCGGACTCCTGGTGTTTTAAAAAGGTAAGTTATGTAAAGTTTTCTCAGTTCCACGACATGCTTAATGAAAATCGTTTTCTAGGCATATTTTTAGGTCACGGCAAACGGCCTATTAGTTTTTTTTAACATTCCAAGTCGAAAAGTTGCTGTTCTAGTTTCCCAAAGATTTCCTTTGTTATTTGGGTTGTAATTTGAAGTCATTAAATGGGAAATCCGCAGAACAGAAAGAGAAAACGGGTTAGAAAGACGCCTTCCAAAATGGCAAAAAAATTCAAACATGGCGACGAACCTCGTGACAAAGAAGCTGGGCCTTCCGGAGCGAAAATTGGTGCCCAGACAGCAAATTTTGGCGTTAATTCTGAAAATATAAACAATATAAGGGAAGGAATAGCATTTATGGATTTATCAATCTTATTTGGTGTCTTTGATAAAATTCTGAAATGTCCTGACTGTGGAGATGAAATGAAGTCACATGTTGACATGGGTATGAGGAAAAAACATGGGTATGCTCATTATATTTCTTTGCAGTGTGTGGCATGCGACTGGAAGTATTGTTTTAATACCTCGAAGAAGCAAGGACAGTCCTATGAAATCAATGTCCGAGCAGTCTTGGCCTTTAGAGAAATCGGTAAAGGGCACAGTGCCATGACAACTTTCAGCAAAGTTCTCAACATGCCTGCTCCACCACGACGTGCCAACTTCACAAAGATCCAAAATAAAAAGCTTTTACCTGTAGTGAAGCAGTGTGCCAATGATAGCATGGTCAACAATGCTATGCATGTCAAGGAAATTATTGATAATGATGCTGGAGAATGTGGAATATCCATAGATGGCACATGGCAGAAGCGTGGTTATTCATCTCACAATGGTGTTGTTACGGCAATTTCCCTCGACACAAAGAAGTGCCTTGATGTTGAAGTCCTGTCCGACAAGTGCCAGCAGTGTCTCAAGTGGAGCAAAAAGCAGAATGTTCCAAAGTATGAAGAATGGAAAGCCAATCACCAATGCAAGATCAACCATACGGGGAGTTCTGGCAGCATGGAGACAGCTGGTGCCTTAACGATCTTTGAAAGATCATGCGCTACAAAGGGGCTGAAATACAAAGATATGCTTGGAGATGGTGATTCGTCCACTTATAGTGCTATTCTAGAAAGTAAACCCTATGGAGAGGACTGTATACCCAGCAAACTAGAATGTATTGGGCATGTCCAGAAGCGAGTCGATATCTGGCAAAGGTCGCCTAACTACTGGAAAGATGGATGTTCTCCAAAATTATTATGGCTTGGCAATAAGAGGAAACCTTGATAATGTTGAAGAAATGGCTAAGGCTGTAAAAGCGTCTCTTTTCCATGTTGCGTCAACAGAAGAGAACCCGCAGCATCATCTTTGCCCGAAAGGTGAGGACAGTTGGTGTGGCTATCAAAGAGATTCCAAAACATACAAACATAAAAATGGTATTCCAAAGCCCATTGTTGAGTTGGTTGAGCCTATATTTGATGATTTGGCTGACCCAGCTTTGTTAAAGAAATGCACCCATGGCTTGACCCAGAATCCAAATGAATGTTTGAACGGGATCATCTGGGACAGATGTCCAAAGACTACATATGTAGAGCAGGAAACTGTAGCTCTTGCCACCTACCTAGCAGTCCTAAAGTTTAATGATGGGGACATATCATATCTTAAAATTCTGGAAGACTTAGATATAACGCCTGGGTTCTTCACTTGTAAAGGTGCCAAAGACTGCGACAGAGCAAGGATCAAGCTGTCGGCCAGAAAGAGCTCAGAGAAAGTCAAGTCAAGAAGGAAATCACTGAGACACTTCAGGAAAAAGTTTCTGGATAATGCTGAGGACAAGGAAGGGGTAACATATGAAGCAGGTAGCTTCTAAACCTTTATGTTGTGAGAAAAGCATGAACGAAAACTTTAGATTGGATTTTCGCAATTTGGCATGTGTAAGTGATCTTTGTGACACTGTAATATTGTAACTATTTACTGCAGGGAGTTGATATTTGGCATACTTACTAACTGTAACATCATATATTATGTGAAACTCTTCAATTTTCAATACTAATCATCCTTAATGAATTATAGGCGAATTTCCTTCATAATTGCTGGATTAAGAGTTGCAATAATTGAAAAATTCCAAAATATGGCTCTAATTTTTTTTAAAAGATATTTCAAGAAAATTGAAGAGTTTCACATAATAGGTCAGGTTCTAAGCTTTTCAAAAATATATTATTTATTTTATTCTGATGACTGGTTCTTGAGATATAATGTTTACGATGCTAAGCAATTACCGGTTAATTAACGGCCGCCATATTGGATAATGGTCATTTTCTGTCACCTGTCCCTTTCAGAAAATCATATTTTTGCATAAATCTACTTAAAAATGAAAAAAAAAGTTTCCAGAGGAGATGACCACCGTATTCAAATGACGAAAGTTATTGCTTGATTTTAAGCATTTATTAGCAAGTGGGAATGACCAATATGGCCACCATCTATTCAAATGGGGCTAACTGCTGGAATATTCTTGGCTTCAATTTTACTAAAACAGATGTGCTATCTAGTGTATATAAGATATCTATGGCCTGAGGCGAATAATTCTTTTAGTATTTTTACACAAGCTATTTGTGTTTTTTTGGGACTGAATTTAGTTTAATTTTGCTTATTTGTTTATCAGTAACTTCCTCAAACTGGCTAGCTGCCATTTTTCAAATTTCAAGTTAAGGGAGTTGTCATAAAATAAGTGCCACCCCAGGGCGGAGGATATTTTTAATTTTGTAAACAAAATTTCATACCCCCACAAAATTATCGCATAATATTTGGTACCCCATCAAGATAACGGTCTCACTATTTCATACCCCATCATAAAACGACAAGTTTATCGGGTTTTTTCATGTTGATATAACGGGGGTGCACTGATAGGGCACACCCCTCAGATATTCTGTTGACTAATTGCCTTATCCTGTAACTTTTATTTTTAGTAAGTTTTATCTTTCTTTACTAAAAATGACAAAAAAGTAAAATTCACATCCAAAATGCTTTTTTGACCTCATTGAATACGACCACCTGTCAAACTAGGGATCCAAGGATATTGTAAAGTTTCAAATTGAATAAGATCGGCAAGAACTGTATAGGGTCGAGCAGGCATAGACTAGAGCAAGCCAGAGGAGGAATGAGGGTCTTCCCACAATGCATTGCGTCTCATTATTCACAATTACGATTTTCAACGAACGTTTGGCGAAAAGTTGTTGAAATACATTGCGATTTTGGCTTCGTATATCTCGTTTTTTCGAAGGTATGTTTTTATATTTGTACTATTTAAGAATCTAATTAAACTATTTTTGACTTATTTGGTACAGGAATTGCTTTTTAGTTATGCTAATTACGTATTGTAATTATGCTTGTTCCGGGTCAGTGGACACGCCAATAAAATGACCTTGATATAATGCAGAAGCAAATTCACTTTTTTTTTAGGAAAATAAAAACAAAACACGTCATCGAATTCGGTAAGATTTATTCTTTCTACTGTTACTTTAAAACATTAATTTGCTCCACTAAACCGACGAGTAATCACGGTTTGAAAATGGGGTACTTTTGCTATATTCTATCGCCGATGGCGGGAATAGACCGCGTGATAATCATCATGGCGCGAAGAAAACTATTGTAATAATCACTATTTTCCATGATAATTTTGAAACATATGCATATAAGTTCCTACATATTTTAAGTTTAATGTAACTTTGAAGGTTATATATGCTTATGTTTAACCTGCACTGACTGTATTTTCTCATTTTATTATAGAATTCAGCTATTTTGGAGTAAAATGCAATCCAAAAATAGCGATGACTGCGATGTTGCTGGAGATGATACTGCTAAACGGGTATATACTTCTAAAGGTGGTACCCCAGGGAAACCTACTAACAAGTCACGCAGAATTTCTCGTTTAAAGAATCCAACATCACGTCGAACTTTGTTTCAGAGTCCTGCAACATCACCAAAGGTATAAAAGTACAAAGGTTTTCATAAACATAAAATACTATACGACTATACAAAACCATTGTATTTTAATGGCACAATGAGATGTTAATTTGTGAGGGGGAGGGGACCTAAACGTTATTATTATATTAACAGTAACATTGTATTTCTAATACTTTTTGGTTGCAACCCCTCCACATTCCCTGGCAGTTTTGTCACCTCTACCAGCAGGGGCCGTTCCTAGACACGATAATTGGGGGAGGGGTGTATATTCATATATTCATGTTCACATACCATAAAAAAATCGCTTTCAAAAGAAGTCTGTCGGGCAGAACACAAATATATAAATATACACCCCCCCCCCCAATTATCGTGCTAGAAACATTGTTTAGTTGGGCAGAATTCTGCTCCAAAAATTTTGCGCAATTGTTTTAAGATTGACTTTAAACAGTATTTCTGTGAAGACTTACAGACGTATAGGAGATGTGTTTCTTCTATACCTCATGTTGATCTATCAATAAACTCATGACAGTGCATAATATGACATTGCCCCTCTCACTTTTTCACTTTTGCTGTTTGTTTTGTAGTTTCCTATCAGAAAGTCTAAACTGACTCCTCCAAATAAATCCCCAGTAAAACATCATAAATGGACATTTGATGAAGATAAAGCATTTGTTGAATTCATATCTGTTGCCGAAACAGATCCAAAGTATGGAAAAAATTCTGTTGGAGAGTGGCCAGCATTCAGTGAAAAGAACATTTTCTGGAGTGATGGTGCCAAGCATATACAATGCAGTACTTCCTCTAACATTCTTCTGTCAGGTAAGTTTGTTAGATTTTTTATTGTGGATTTAACTACTGTACTTGAGAAATTTTATAAATTGGATATGTTTCATACCTAGTGTAATATTCTAGTTATTTCGATATTATATATATACATACATGTAAAATTGTCTGGTGGTATAGCAGTATGAGAAGAATTTTATTAGGACCGGCATATTGTGCACTACCTGGTTAATTAAAAAGGGTTGATTGACCTTTTTTCATATGTACATCTACCCCATAGAAATAATAGATATCTATTATTTCTATGATCTACCCCCTTCATAATTAAACATAGACTAGAGATAATATGTTCTCAGGTGAGATTGAGGATATTTTAGTAAGATCATGAAAATGTGCTCCCATTCATATGATGTACAGGAAAAAGTTTGCAACATTGGAAGATGCTGAAGTCCATTATGGTTTGACTTTATCTGATGGTTTAGCAGAACTTGTGATTGATAGGAGGCAAGCTAATTCTAGATCTGTTAAAGCTAAACCTAAGAGAAGTAGTTGGGAAACAGCAACACCTCCTCCACCTTCACCACCACCACCACCACCACCAACAAGCAATACTCAACCATTGCCTACAGTTGAAAATGCATTTAAAAAGCTTACAACTCTTCTGGACAATGATCAATTAGAAAATTTGTTGAACAAACTGTTTCTGCACCTGGCTTTAGAACATAATATAACATTTAATCCTGGTAATTACTGTTCAATGTCTATTAAAGCAATGGAACTGTTAAAAATGAACAACAAGAACAACCTGTTGTATAAATTTGCCTTGGCATTGTGCAATAATAAACCTGGTACTAATGAGCCTGTATTTCCAATGGACAGAATGCCGTTTGGGTTGGTTGAATATCAAATAGAGTTCTTCAGTTGTACACATGTAAAACAGGTACTGATTTTGGATATTAATTCAATTGCATAAATGTTCCTATCCCCTTTCAATACTCTCTAATATGATATCATGCCAAATATGATATCATGCTGAAAGTTAATGAATATATGTTTGCTATTTTCAATATTGAGCATATACTGTACACACATAATGTATAGTCCATGGGATTCGCAACAAGTCGGTTTGAGTCTCTCAAAGAGGGACCAAAAATCGTTGCAATTTTAATAACATTTATCGTATGGAGAGTTAGAAAAAAGCAGGTAACAAGTTTGGGTACCCGGCTATCATGTCGTATCATGACATTTTAAATGCAATGTATTGGTAAGTGACAAGATTAATAATAATAATATTAATATTATTATTATTATGACATTTTAAATGCAATGTATTGGTAAGTGACAAGATTAATACATTACAAGGTTTGAAAAACGGAACTAGTTAAATATTTATTATCCCTTATTTTTCCAAGCCTGTGTCTCATTGCTTTGCGATAAACCTTTTAAAAATATCTCTCGGGGAACTACGTATCGAAATACCAATGGTTAACTGTAACGTCTTTGGGGCGATTTCACCTTGTTAAAATTGTGTAAAGTACTTGTCTGCTTTCACTAACGTTCAAAACGATGTTTAAAAATGAACTGAATATAACCACACTTATTTGCTTTTTACTTTTTTACTCTATTTTACAAAATATGGCGAAAACTAGTCTTTTTATAGGCCATTTTTATACTCCTACAAACACGGGAGCCTAGGTCCTATTAGCTACCAGGCCCCGATAACACGGTTTTCAAAATGGCTGCCAAAACAGGTAGGTTAATTTACATATTTTGATGTTTCTTTCGCAATTAATATAACTCGATTTTTCGCTTATTGTGTCTTAGTTATCTTAATTAAAAAAAAGCAATCGTAAATACACAAAAAACACGCTATCTGATTTATCTAAATTTAATAAAACTTGGGCTGAGTGAAGTAAAATTCGAGTAGACATCGATTTATTGATATTTTAGGGGTTTTTTTGTGCCAAAACTTTGTTTTCACCATTCATGGAGTGTAAAATATATCTTCTATCATAATCGGGAGTCGTTCTTGTGCTTTTAAACTATAACTGAGCATCACATCTGTTATATTTAATAGGAAATAAGTAAGCGTAGTTGGCATTGAAATATGTGAATTTTGAGATAATGGAGGAGTGTATAATACACTACAACAGTGTATCAGAACAAAAGCTTGTGAAATTGAGCTCCGCAACTTCGTGGAAGACTTTATTACAAGCAGCAGAAAGAAGAAAGTTCCAGCCAATTCTCGATATTTAGAGCACTGTAACAGATGGAGAATACCCTCCTCTCAAATATCACAAAACATGTAGATCTATGTTTACCTTGAAAAGGGACTTAGTTAGCTGTGGACAAGAAGTCGGAGAAACAAGTCAAGCACAAACGAATCCAAGGAGTAGTCTCAGATTAGCAAGTCAAGGTGAAGGATATGAACGAATGGATTGTGATAAACTTTTGCCAAACTGCATATTCTGCAATAGAGCTAAATGTGTTCGAAAAACAGACACTAAAGAAAAATTACTTTCATGTGCGGAATTATGAGCTGATGATTCAATCAGAAAAGCCAGTTTACTCAGAGGCGACCAGAGAATTGCAGCGATTACGACGGACGACTTAATCGCAAAAGAGGCTAAGTACCATAAAACATGTTACCGTAATTACACACGAGTAAACTACAAAGTTGTAAAGGATTATCAATCAAATGAAGATGAGCCATTTGATGCTGTGAAAGAAATTTTGTTTGATTTGTATGATTCTCCTGATGTAATTGAGTACGCTATACTAACTAAGGCACTCCAAGACAATTTGAGAGGTTTGGAAGGAGTAGATGAGAAGTATATAATTCTGCTAAGAGAAACTTGAAGTGAAAGATTGAAAACCTGCTCATTGGTTTCAACTTTTTAACGGTTAACAGCAGATTATTAGTCTACCCTGATACATTGTCAATTCGAGACATGATATCAAAGTACTACAGTCTGAAGATTGAGGCCGAGAAGATTTCAAAAATGAAAGAAGATGAAAAGACTGTGCTAAGAGCTGCCCATTTGATTCGAGAAGAAGTCAGAGCAATGGAAGATGTAATGCCTTGGCCCCCACAAGAAATTGATTTGGACGAAGAAAAAGTGATATTAAGTCACCACTTGTCGCTTTTCCTGGATAAGTTACTAAATCAACGCTTTACCGAACAGCCTAGCCCTGGTATTTGTCGTTTGAAATCATCATTTGGCCAAGATATTGTCTATGCTGTATCCCGTGGGAGAATAAAAACACCAAAGAGTATCATGTATCCCTACACTATCAAGTCGCTAACCAACTGCACTGAACTTATCGACATAAGCAGCAGGTTAGGACATGGTATCAGCCGCTCTCTCGTAGAAGAACTGACAACTGAAAATGCGTACCGAGTGATGGATCAGCAAAATGAAGGGACTGTTGCCTTGCCGCCTGGATCAAAAGAAGGAACGTTTACCATAGCAGTCTATGACAACATCGACCGACAAGAAGAAACTTTATCTGGTAAGTTTAGGTTTCGGGTTTTGATAGTATGATATTACTGTTGATTGAAGTAGTCATTTGTGGTTATTTTATTGAAATAGTTCTATTATACTTCAGATAAATTATCCATTTTTATTCTTTCTAGGATATGGAATGTCCCACAAAGTAAACGGAATAATTATCCAACCTGGACATTTTGCAGAAATTACAAGCGATTCTGCGCTTCCAAAAAGAAAGCGCTGTAGAAGATCTTTCGAAGTTCTCACCGAACAACGGAAAACAGATTATTTATCTGGCAAGAGAATTGGCCCAAACAATTTGACGTTCCCTGGCAATGACGACCGTGGATTTCTATTGGTTGAGCAATCAAGAATCAACGTACCTTGGATCCTTTCCCGTAAAAGCTCTGTTCCTCAAGCGGTCCCAAGTTGGACAGGCTTCAACATCAAGATAAGAAATAATATTACCCCCAATAAATGTTCTGTTGGATATCTGGAATGCTTGGATTCTCCCGCAAGTGACATGAGCACAATTTTTGAAATTCTGAACAGATGTCTTGCAATAAAGGATACGTTGAAGCTATCAGCTATTGTTTGCGTCTTTGACCAAGCCATATATGCAAAGGCAGCAGAAATCAAGTGGAAAATGCCGACTCAGTACAAAGATTGTATTTTGATGCTGGGCATGTTTCATATGCTGATGATGTACCTGGGCATTATCGAGAAACGTTTCAAGGACGCAGGATTGCGCGATGTCTTGATTCAGAGTAAAATACTGGCAGAAGGTTCCGTGGACAAAGCTTTAGCTGGAAAGATGTACAACCGTTCTGTGCGAAGCTGCAAATTGGTGTATGAAGCTCTACACAGGTTATTAATCAGCAAAATGGAAACGTCCTATGAAAATGATCAGGAAAAGCATCAAATAATCGCATCATGTCAAGAGGAAATTTTCTCTTCCTTGGATGATATCTCTGCTGAGACATTTTCTGATTTAGCTGATACTGAAAGCTTCAGATCATACAATAACTTGTTGACTAACTATAAGGTTCACTTGTTAGCAAATGGAGGTGGTCTGGCAAAGTTTTGGCTTAGCTTTCTTGATATGGTTGAACTGTTGCTCAATATCATATATGCTTGCCGAGCTGGAAAGTGGGAGCTACTTCTGGAATGTATAAGAGATGTTGTGGCATACGCATTTGGATATGACAATTTCAATTATGCAAGGTACCTGACCCCATTTCTTGGAGAGATGTTAAACCTTGAAGTCGACCACCCAGAAATTTACCATGCATTTGTGCAAGGAAACTTTTCTGTTGAATTAAACGATGACAATACATTTGGCAGAATGGAAGCGGACAAAGTCATCGAGACAACGATTAACAAAGACACAAAGACACCTGGTGGGACAACGGGATTCAGCACAAATTCAAATGCTATAAACAGATGGGCGTTGAATGCATCATATAGAGCGAAATTGCGTTGTTGCTTCCATAGGCACTTAGGTTACGGTAACATCCAACACAAGCACCATGACCTCAGTGTCAGTAGAATCAAAAGAGATGAAAAAGATGTGCAATCCTTGATTGATGTGATGACTAAAACCTTCGTAGATCCCCTATCGGATAACGATTTGTTATGTATTTCAAACGGACTTGCAGCTACTCAATCCGTTGCCCAAGATCTGCAACAAGCAAAGCATCGTGGTGAAGAGGCTTTGACAACATTTATCGCCGACCGTTTAAGCGACGAATCAAAGGTATCTATTTATGATCCAATAAAGAAGCTAAAGCTACAAACGTTTTCCTCTTTGCGCAAAACTGTCACAGTCAAATGCAAAGACAAAACAATTCAAATTAAAGCAACCCGAAACTTGTTTGGCCAAATTGCGATCATAATGCAGAAGCGAGATTTAGACTTGAAAGAAGTATTCAAGTATCCACTGGGGCCATTTCCTTGGGCACTGGCAGGCGTAATGGGCGATCTCAAGAAAACTAACAAGTCTGCATTACTTAACGAAGTTGAGAAATTAACGGAGCCACTTGATTCATTACCTGATGATTATGCCAGCATATTTGATGGTATGGCCATCGTCCAGAAAGCACGCGCTACTGGCTTAACGTTTGGCGAGTTAGCTCACCAGATGTTTCAATCAATTCTGTCATCAAGCAGAGGTGCCAAACGAATTGATGTTGTTTTTGATGTGTATATGGAAAACTCCATCAAAAGTGCTGAGCGCTTACAACGATCAACAGGGAACTTGACTTTTCGACAGTTGATTCCATCGTATCCAGTAAAGCAGTACAACCAGTTTTTGTCATCACCCGCCAACAAACGTGAGCTGATTAGATTTTTGCTTGACCAGTGGAAGCAAGAAGAACACTTCTTGACAGTTGAAAGTGGAACTTTTTATGTCACCTGTGATGAAAAGTGCTTCCAACTTTGGAAAGAAGGTATGTTTGAAGTTCCAGAACTGGAAAGTACACAGGAAGAAGCAGACACAAGAATGATGCTTCACGCTATTCATACAACAAATCAGTTGATTCACAATATAGTGATTCATACTCCTGATACGGATGTCGTTGTTATTGCAATGGCCGTTTCGGAAACAATATCAAGTTCTCTGTATATCAAAACTGGTACAAAGAACAGAACGAGAATCATCAATCTGAATGATGTCAAGTCATCTCTTGCAACACGATACCTCACTGATCGTGATGATGTGAATCTAAAGGAATTTCTGGATGCACTGTTAGGCCTTCACACATTTACAGGTTGTGACACAGTCAGTGCATTCGCAGGTCATGGCAAGATCCGATTGATGAAGTTAATGGCAAAAACTCAGGAACATGTAAAACTGTTTGCTGAGCTTGGTAAAAATTTTCAACTTTCAGAAGAGCTGGTCAACAACCTACAAGACTTTGTTTGTAAAATGTATGGCAAAGAAATCGTGGACATCGATCTACTGCGTTATAAGCTCTATTGTTCAAAGAAAGGAAAGTGTGAAATTGAACGTCTTCCACCGTGCATGGCTGCACTTCGCCAGCATTGTTTAAGAGCAAACTACCAGACGTGTATATGGCGCTTGTGTCAAGAACAAACCTCGGTTATCCCTTCACCATCTGACCACGGTTGGGTGTTTGATGAAGATGGAATAATTGGAATTAACTGGATGGATTGTCAGCCAGCACCAGACGAAGTACGCATTTACGACACATTTCTCATGGGTATATCGATAATTGTCGCAATTTTAATATTTTTTCATGGGTTTCACGAAACACTAAATCATTGATAATACTTTCTATTCAGGTGATGGAAATGTTGGCGTGCAATTGCAGAAGAATGTGCGTGGCGGGCACTTGTTCTTGTGTGGATGTCGGGCTGAAATGTACAGATGCATGTTCGCTAGTGGACTGTGAAAACAGAGCTATTAACGGCGATGATAGTGAATCAGATGCGGATAGTGAATCAGATGAGGACAGTGCATAGATATCTTATATACACCAGATAGTGCATCTAATTATTCTGCAATTCAAAAATTGAAGCCGTGATTGCAGTCTCAGGTCGTTCCCATGAAATGAGAAGATTCGTATGTTTTCTATTTCTTAAACAGGGAACTTAAACATTACGTTAACCCTATTTCAAATACATTTTTAAACTATTCAAATGATGAAAGTTATTGTTGTTTTTAAGCGTTTATTAGCAAGTGGGAACGACCGACATGGCCGCCATCTATTCAAATGGGGGTAACCGCTGGAATATTCTTGGCTTCAATTTTACTAAAAGAGATGTGCTATCTAGTGTATATAAGATATATCTGGGACAGTGACTAAGTTTAATTCATATTTATATGTTTATTGAATATTAAAGATGCGGTACAGTCCGATCTGCGCATGTGCACAAAGGAGTGCTCTTTTTATTTGTGTCTTGACAATTTATTATACTCTAGAATCATGAAGATATAAATAGTAGTTGTCGAATAAAATTCAATATTTTGGATACCGAAATGTAAACAAAGCCTTTGTTTACATACGGACTGTACCGCTTCTTTAATGTTATTGGTATTTCTAAACTGTGACGTCATCAATATTGTTAGTTGGTTGTAATAATGTGTTGAAATTATAAAGTTGTACAACAAACTACAACGAACACCTGTCCAAGCTAAGCTAACTAGCTAAGTTGTTTGAGGAATTAGTAAAAAAAGAATAATCATTCAAAGATCATGATATGAGCATTTCTTAGCTCACTTGTCTTAGCTAATAAGCGAAATAACACATTGGGTTATTTTTTATCAAAAAGCCGGGTATTTGGACTTGTTACCTGCCAGTTTCGCGTAGCATAGGCCTTGATAGGACGATTTAATTTGGTTTTGTTTGGTCCCTCTTTGTGAGACTCACTTGTTGTGAATCCCATGGTCTAGTATGGCTGTTTGTAAATGTCACTGTACATTATTGTAAAATTATACTGGTTACAATACTGTATGACTTCCTAGAGTGAAAAATCCTGAAATATTGATAAAAATATGATTCGTATAAATGGATGTTGGTTAATTTATTGTATTTTAATTATTCAATACAGCAACAACATACGTACCAAGTAATTGGCTTAGACAAAAAATAAAACAAGAATTATAATGTCATTGTTTCCATTTTTCTCACATCCAGATTAAGATGCCTGATGACTTTCTTCAGTGGCATGAAAGTATGTGTGCAGAGTCCCCCACACGTTTTAACCGTCTGTTCAGGGCCCAATGTGGAGTGGTGTTGATGAAAATTATCATGGTTATCCAATAATGGTCAGTACTTTGGATCGTTTATTCAACCATCATATATTTATTGTTCATTGTTGTTTGGCCTTTAATTTTGTTAAATATATATTTAATGTACAGTAGTATTGTATGGCAATTAATTATGTTTGATAATTGATAAGAGTTTGCATCAGAGGTGCATCTGATTGGATTGGATGTTTATAATCCGACAATTGGGTAATGTTTAAAATTTAAAATGTTTCTATTATACCCCTGTAAAAATGAGTATATTAGAAATGTACTAAAATTCAAAACAATGGTTAGTAACTCATTTTAAGCATTTTAAATTATAACTGTCAATTAAATTTTTTTGCTCGTCTATATCGATTTTAGGCGAAGGTCAATGTTGCCTGTATTTCAACCAGGACAGTGGCAACCAAAACTGCATCATCACAATTCAGTGATGAACCTATAATACAGGTATGTTACCTACCTTTTATTTACATGCAAAAAGGTTGTGCAAAAACCATGGACAGATTTTCTGGATGGGAGGATGCACCACCTCCCAAATATTTTGCACCTCCCCCCTCCCTCCCAGAAATTTAAATGCTCATTTTGAACTACTGTAAATAAGAATAAAAACGAGGATTTTGAACAAAATAAGGAATAAAATCCCAACATTTTCTGGAGGCTGTGTGTGCAGATTCCTGTGCAGGTTAAACAATGTATAAGTATTTCTTTTCATATTAGGAACAAGCACTAAAAGACATGAAAGCTGCATATCCTTCAGGTCGTTTCTGGATCAAAGGTGATGGGTGTGATATTAAACCAGCACTTCAGCAATCAGTTAAAGGTGTTTGGAATGGAGACTCTGATTTAGGAGATGGCACACTTCAGAACTGAAGAAATGATTATGAACAAAGATTGAAGACATTTAAAAAATTGACATCACCGCATAATGATATTGAGAAAGTGATGAACATGATTGAGACAGTCTTAACAGATCTGGAAACTGATAAGCAGTTTTTAACACAAGGTTTACAGAAGGCACAGAAGGCATACACAGAAAAATGTAAAAAACCAAACCCATCAAAGAAAGTACTTATGGAACTTTCGTGGGAGAGAGTCGAATATAGTGAACTGTTACAACAATGTCAGTGTCTGCTTTCTTATGTTAAAACATTGAAAGTCTCTGTTGGTCAAAGTTCTCAAGTGTTGCATGTACAGAAGAGCGTGTGTGAAAAGACATCTGATTGGGAGAAATATATGAGGAATTTGTTTATAAAAAGACGACAACCAGCAGCAATTCATGTTTTCATCTTTCTACTATCTGATGAATGTCGCAACAAGAAACCGTACTGTCTACCAATTCAGTATTGTTTTCAAGGTGTATTATTAGTAGAGGTAATCATGCGATGGCGAGTACAATTAGGGATTAATAGTACGAGTGATGTTTGGAAATTTTGCCAAAATTGGACGAGTCGCCGTACTTGTTTATTATTAGCAGCATGACAAAATTGGATACGTACTTCTTAATGTCAACATCATATTCTCTAGCCGAAGCCCAGTCCTGCCAGACTTTCAACCAAAATTTAATGCCTTTGTTCGTATTTTCATCTACTTCCTCTACAGCAATTTCATTTCACGCTTGTGTTTAATGTAAAATACGTTTCCGCCATTTTGTTTGTTTTTTGTTTGTACTGCAGTACAATTAATGAAATAACTGTACTCTCAACCAATCAGCATCCAGTAATTTTGTCATGCTAATAATAAATTTAATTAACACAGAAATATTTGCATAGCATGACCAAACTGTTGGGCTGGCTTTGCCACTATGAGTAAATAATTATTAATATTATTATCACATATTATTATTAGGTTTTGTCACTGATGGGAAATTCAACAGCTTGAGAACAAAAGGAGAGAAACGCCCATTACATGTGGTGCAACTGATACGAAATGCTCGTGAAAGTGTCAGCAAAAAGTCCAAAGGATTTTTATTGAAGTTGATTGTGAGAACAGGAGGTAATGCACTCATAACTCCATAATTATCTAGTAATCTTTTTCCCCCAATGCGACCAATAATTTTAGTATATTTTAAAGTGGATAGCATATTTTAACAATCAGGAGCCGGTTGTTCAAAGCTAGGGTAGCTTAACCCTAGGTTAACCTTAGGTTAACCTATCATTCAAAGCAATCTTCCTGACAGCTTGTCTATAAATTTGGAAATATTTCTTCAGAGATCCTGTCTGGATCGATAGGAGTTTACTTCTTTGAAGTTTTGAAATATACAGATGTGTAGAAATACACAAACTAAAACAGCAGGTTAAATTTTAACCCAGGATTAGCGCTAACCCACCTTTGAACAACCGGCCCCAGAAGAATAAGAATTAACAGTACAGTAAGTACAAGATGAAATGAAGTACAAGATGAAATTAATTGTGACATGCATGTATTTAACTTAATTTCCTGCATATTAACCGTATTTTACTTATGCTAAACAGCTGTATCAGGATTATGTATACAATATAAATGTGTATGAAAAATTTGTTACGCGAAATGTGTGTGCATACGTATTAACAGATGAAAGGTTTAGGTGTTGGATAAATTAACTGTAACTTCATTTATCTATTTTCAGTTGATGATGATGGGAAGCCTGTGACAGAAAAAGCAGATCCAGCAATACCTTCTGATGTTATCAACCTATTGCATAACTTGAGACAGGATGGATTAAGTTTATTTGAGGCTCTTAAATGCATAAGGATGTCCTTAGTACCAGAAGGATATGAACCCTATCCCTTCAGAAATGGAGTAGAAGAAAGCCAGGAAGATATGCTTAAGTCTATTATCGGAACATATCGATTCAGGGATACTGTCTCCAAGTATGTGTCAGTTGGTGTAGATTTTTCTACCTATATTTACATTCCAGAGATTGATGATGAGACTGGTGAAGCTTTTCATGAACGGGAAGATCACTGCCACATTCTCAAACGCATTTGGAAGCACACAAGAGAAGGACCACCTGGAACTAACTTGCAAGGTTTTGATGATGCAATGCGTAATCCTGGCACTGGATTGACATTTGCAGCTCTTACTGGCAAGAGAAAACAATCTGTGGTTGATGCAGAAAGAATGTTGTCGTTCCTTGTTGCCAAGTTTCTTAGTGAAAATGGTTATGAAAAGGAAGGAGAATACATCAATATTGTTGCAGGATGGCATGAGGCTGCAGATGGCAGAGGACTTTCTGAGCTGGAGAGATGCAAGAAAAACTATGCTATGCTTAACATGATTCTGGATGACTGGATGCCATGGCATAAAACAACACCTAATTTTGCTACCATCGACATTAACAGGTATACATGAATTCTATAAAATTTGATAGCAAGGTATTTATTGATGTTCAAGTGCATGTAATACAAAAGTGCAGAAAATTGCAACAAACGCAGATTTCGTATCATGTTCATAAAAAAATGTTGCATGTACATCATATTGGGGAGGGGATCAATTTTAACAAGACAAAAATACTGTAGCCAATTACAGTATGAAGGTGTTAAAGTAAAACTATTTTGGTTTTTTAGACCAATCAAAGGAATTTGTGGATTTTCAAGAGAGACTGTGATCGCTGTAACTACCAACATTGAAAGCATTGAGTATCGCAGAAGAGAAAGTGGTAGAATTGGATATCCCGAACATCCTAGAGCTGGCACTTCAGATGATGTAGAGGCATTCATCTCCTTGTTGCACGGTTTTCTTGGCAATATATTTACAGTGAAAGAGATGAAATCATTGTGGAGGAAAGTTGTAAGGTAAATTGAATGGTAGCACGAGAAACTGTTTCTGTAAATACACTCTGCTACTGATAATATGCTATGACCTGTTTGTTTAAGTGCATTTACATAATATGGCACCAATTGGAATTAGTAAATGTAATAAATGTCCATTCCATATGTAGCTGTTCTCAATTAGCAAACATACATGATAAACAGGAACACAGATGGAAACTATGATATTATGTTTCAATATTATGTATTATATGTGATCCTTTTGTGGTAAAATACTGTACAATTTAAAACAACTTTTTGTTATTTATTGTTTTTCGTCTCTACCTTAGGGAGTATTGCAAACGAATTGATGAAGATTTGCCATTTTATTACTGGACAAGTAACGAACGGTTCAGAGAGTTTGGTGACCCCATGCCGAGCTTCAACGAAGTCGAGGAAGTCCCAGATGACATTGATGCAGCTGACGACCCATGCCGCCTTCACAGCTTAACTGTCAACAGACGAGAAGACTCTTCCATCTTCGCAGCAGGACGTCTCTCTTTGCCAGTGCGTAACCTAACTACTGTTCGCCATCGGCTTCACAGACCTGTCGTTGAACCTCCTTTACTGGAAGCAGCAATCGAATGAATGGAAGATCTACTGGAAGATGATTGGATGGAAGAAGATTGGATGGAAGAAGATTGGATGGAAGAAGATAATATGTAATTGGCAGTGGTAACAATACACAGCTTGGACCTGGTCAAGGTTGAAGGTGTAAAACACCCTTGGGCAAGTGACTTCACCCTTTTCATCCTTTTGCCTCCCATCTTTCAGTTGTTTTAATATATTGAACCAATGATAATCATAGGAAAAATTTCATTTCTAATAATGGATTTTGAATGGCTTTTAAATATTTATCATGTTGAATTAAGATGATAAGAGTCCAGTTTTTCCATTATAAATTTCCCACATGGTGAATTGGTAAAAACCATGTTTAATTTACCATTAATGATACATTCAAATTTTTCCTATGAATGTAAATAGTTCTGGTACTGTGGTACATGTATATACGTTGAGTTTGTTTCCATTTATATTTCATCATTCTGTTCTTGTTAGTTTTCTCTTTTTAGATGCTGAATTTGCTGTCATCATCTGATTACTGTAGAGAGTAAGTATGAAAGAATCGGATGAAATTGAGTACCGTAAGTATGATCCGGGTAGGTATGTACTGTAACAGACATATTTGCATTACAGGGTGTATTAATATATAAATACATATTTGCATACAGGGTGTATTAAAATATATATATATATATATATATATGTATATGTATATGTATATGTATATGTATATGTATATGTATATGTATATATATATATATATATATATATATATATATGTAGTGTTGTGATAGAATAATAGTTAGTGCGATAGCTATGCCAAAAAGTGTCCAGCAGTAAACCATCTAGATCTTCCTTGTGTCCATACCATGTCGGATGTCCAAATCTTTCTTTTGTCTATACCATATCCAGATCTTCCTTGTGTCTATACCATATCCAGATCTTCCTTGTGTCTATACCATGTCCAGATCTTCCTTGTGTCTGTACCATGTCCAGATCTTCCTTGTGTCTGTACCATGTCCAGATCTTCCTTGTGTCTGTACCATGTCCAGATCTTCCTTGTGTCTGTACCATGTCTTGATATTCCTCTTGTCTATACCATGTCATGTCCAGTTAACAGAATGACTGAAAGAGAAACAAAGAAAAGCAGAGACTGTTCTGTGTGGCCATGAGCTTGCTGGCATTTACATTGGCTCAATTTTCTCAATACACACTATGGAAAGATTCATAGTGGATTTGAATAACCCTAATCCTTCTCAACTTTTGCATGCCCTTACGAAAAAATCCTATAGGAATTCCTATAGGAATTCCTATAGGAAATCCTATAGGAATTCCTATTAGATTTTGGCCCAATTTCCTATAGGAATTCCTATAGGAATTCCTATAGGATCCTATAGGAATTTCTATAGGATCCTATAGGAATCCCTATAGGAATTCCTATAGGAAATTGGTCCAAAATCTAATAGGAATTCCTATAGGAGTAGGAATTCCTTAGATTTACATAGAAATTCATATTGGATCATATAGAAATTCTTGCATAATCCTCTAAATCAAACTGTGTAAAAGAGTTATTTACCAAGGTGAAGGAAAAAGAGAAACAACTAGTGAAAAAAAATTTATTACAGATAAAAATGTGGCAAAATAACATGCTATATTTACATATAACATACTAATTTCGGCTATTTATCTTTTTAACTTGTGACATTTTTCATTGTTCTCAGTTTAAGAAAGGTTTCTTATATTTTCTTACTTTTAGAAAATTTTTAGACATAAAATTGTACTATATTATATAACCTATTTATGTATTTAAAAAATAGAAAATTCTGTATGCACTACATAAGTTTTATTTTCTGTCATTCTTATACATGACTATGTTTAGTTCTGATTGCACAGCAATGTGTTGTGGCGAATAGAGTTTCTCACAAAGCCGTATTATAACACTTTCCACTGCACAAACAATATTATGACCTAACAAACCATTTGTTCAAGTCCATTGATTTATTCATGTACATTTAATACTGCTCCAAGCACAGTGTGCAAATGCCACCAGAGATCCATCATATTGGAATCTGTAAAAGGAAAACTTTATTTACTTGAAAATATAATCATAATGAGTAAATTATACCCTATAAAAAATAGAACAATGGACTTGCTTCCTAATCTGAGACACTCCTCAGTCAGTTATAAGGGACTATTAACTCTTGATGTAAAAACAGTTTTTAATTAATATTTAACAATTATTGAATGAGGTTGAGCATGATATGAAGAATTATCAAGCCCAAAGTTTGCCGTTATCAACTGAAGCCGAAGGCTGAGGTTGATAACCGTTACGGCAAACTGAGGGCTTGATAATTCTTCATATTGTGCAAAAACCAAATTCAATAATTGTTTTATTATTTATTTAAAAAAATCAAAACAAATGGAACCCATTTGTATTTTATTTGTATTAAGAATAAAAAATTCCTATTTAGTTCTTCGGCAGCCGTCATTGTCATCATATCAATGGCGTCAGTGAGTTGATATGATTCTCGTCATCATAGTAATATGGCGCAAACACATCCAAATTTTTTTCATATTGACTCTTTGACGTCATTTTGCCAATATGAATGTGAAAAATCCATCTTTGGTTAGCCACTGAGTTGATATGACAATTTCACAGATGGCTGTTACCCAATCAGAAACCAGAAATTTTTTAAATAAATAATAATAAGATTTATCCTTTATATATAAGATGATTTCCATAGTTTATTGTCATAATCACCATGAATTACAAAGACTGTTCATATTGGTACAAGGTAATGCAGGGTGCAATATGTATACTGGGTTTGGTGAATAATCCAAGTGAAAACTAAGTCCTCTGGCAGTAATTGAACCTATGGCCCTGCGATTACGGACCTCAGTTGGTTAGACCTCTGCCCCGGAAGTACAGGACTGTAGGTTCAATTCCTGGTCGAGGATTTAGTGTTACATTTTTCGCAATCGTTCCTGGTTATAGGTCTTAATTAAATAGTGTTTATATATATATAATTACATCTCATTTGTGTCAGTTTTCTTTGATCGTCTGAGGTTTATAACTAGCTAATATACCTTGAATAAATAATTACATCAAACTTTTCGACAAAACGCAAGAATTTTTCACCAAAATTTTTTGAAAATGACAAAATATGTTAGAAAACCTCCACAAATGAGATATAAGTTAGTTATAAACTTCGAAAATCTGTTTATAACTGATATATTGCCCTTGGACACTACGCGTCCTTGGGGGGCAATATATCAGTTATAAACCTCCTTCTCGGTTTATAACTCTAACTTATATATATTGGATTATCCACCAAACCCAGTATTCTAGTCCAACCAAGTGAAGTGCAAATAATATCTTTCAAGTTGTAATATGTATAATATGTTAAGTAGAGACATGGCTGTGGGCAGAGAGTAGGGATATGCTGGATTGGGTTACTGGCATCCGGCAAAATATAGGCCATCGAAAACTATCAATGCCGTGCCACATATATTTATGCTTAATATATAAAGTGATAAAGCACATAAATAAACTATGGACTATTGTTAGTGAATCTGGTTATATTTTCTGATTGTTGAGAACAATATTTGGAGCCAGGGCTACATACAAGCACTGCCCAGCTCAAATATTAATCTTGAAATATACAAAGACAACATTTGAGGCACTGTCTCAGCACTATCATTGTGAACATCACTTTATACAAGTGAAGCTCTCCCCTTGAGTCCTTGACCTTGACAAGTAAAATCATCTGGCAATTTATTCAGAGCAATGCAAACACTTGAGCACATTAAAGATTGATTATTGATATACTAAAAATTATTATTTAGATTAGATTATTGATATTCCAATCCTTATTGAAGTACTAAAATGCAAACATATCTTTAAAAGCATTCGGATGTTTAATATATATTATTTCAAAGTGCCAATTAATTATGCCAAAGAAAATATTGCTAAATTGTTAATAATAGTGTGAAATTTAGTATAGAATTCACAATAATAGGTTCGAATCTATATTTCATTCTTTCTTTACTGCCAGAAACCAACATTTTGTATGTTTTATATGCAAATTGACGCGGCAAATTCAAACATTCAACGGAATTTTAAGACACATGGCCCACATGGCTCAAGTTAACAATCATATTCACCACATTATTTTGCAATTAAAGTGCTTAAATAATAAGTCAAATACAAAAGTATTCTTACCTGTGACATCTGAATAACATGTTAAGAACTTTCCGATTCCTTTTCCACCGTTTGGGTTAAAAATATCAACGAAATATTCCAAGCACAAAATTATAAGACACCAAACATTTTTTATCACAAATAAAATGATGCTATCCCATGAAGCTTTGCGCTCTGAAACGTAAACTAGTCACCAGGGCGTCCAATTGAAGCGCGAACTATTGGCTGTGTCTTATATTCTTATAGGGATAAAATTCTGATAGGAATGCTTGTATTAGGGACCATCAGGAATTATAGAAATCCTAGCTAAACATATAACCACTGAGTATTTTAGCAAAATACAAAACAAGTGTAACTCCAAAGATCATGCAATAACAATATATATCAATGTAGATCGATATCGATCTTTGGAGTTACACTTGTTTTGTATTTTGCTATAAAAAAAACATATAATAGCAGCAATAGGATTCTATATAACATCATATACGAATTCCTATAGGAAATTCAAAAATTAATTTATTTATTACAAAATTTATTTCCCTATAGGAAATTCCTATAGGAAATTCCTATAGGAAATTCCTATAGGAAATTGGAATTCCTATAGGAATTCAGTTCCTATAGGAAATTCCTATAGGAAATCTATTCCTATAGGAATTCCTATAGGAAATTCCTATAGGAAATTCTATTCCTATAGGATCCTATAGGAATTCCTATAGGAATTCCTATAGGAATTCTATTCCTATAGGATCCTATAGGAATTCCTATAGGAAATTCCTATAGGAATTCTATTCCTGTAGGATCCTATAGGAATTCCTATAGGAAATTCCTATAGGAATTCTATTCCTATAGGATCCTATAGGATTTTTTCGTAAGGGTGGTAACATTTAGCTTATATAATATCTAAAACGTAGATGGGGAACACCATTTTGAAGTACATTTTTTTAGCGACTAGTGCAATAATGCAATGTGACTATTGTATGTATATGTTTGTTGCCAATCAAGTCACATATATTAATGCATAGTTATCTTTGTTCAATTCTAACCAGGGAATTGGGTGGCAATGAGCATAAACCTGTAACAGCTGATACACACGTAAAAATGCACAAGTTGTTACAAGTCTATTCACAAGCTGTCAACAAGTTGTGTTCGCACTGCTTGTCCCAGTTTGTTTTAACAAGTTTGAAACAAGCTGTTGACAACTTGTAACAAGCTTGATGGCATTATCAGCGGCCTTGTTACAAGACTGTGCTAACAAGTTTGTCACAAGACTGTACTAACAAGTTTGTCACAGCAATGATGTAACAAGGATGTAACAAGGATGTAACAAGGATGTTACAAGGTTGCAGGGGTTTTTCCCGGCATTTTTTAGGACTGTAAAACGGCCCCAAAAACTCAATCTTGAATTGAGTTTTGAAACTCAATCTTCTCACCAAAAGATTAAGTGCAGTAAAGATGAAGTTGTTTGAGTTAAATTTGTGATGTGTGGAAATTAGTTTCAGTTGGAGACCCGACAATCAGAAAAAATGGCTGGAATTCATTTCACAACACAAGAAAAACAACATATATTCACCATCTTTAACCAGTTTATAGTGTCTGCTTTAACACATTGCGTCTCTACACTTATTGGGTACAGGAGCCAGCCTCCTACAGCTGCCCCAGACCCCATGCAGCTATTCAGCTAAACTCAATCTTCTCTGCAAAAATGGACCCAAGAGAAAATCCTGAAAAAAATCCTGGGTTGTCAACACAAGGTTGTAACAATCTTGTTATATCAAGCATGTAACAGAATTTTCAGAACAACCTTTCAACAGGTCTGATAATTTCGATTACAAGTTGTCAACAAATTGTTCCAAACCTGTTGACAACTTGTGACAAGCAGTGCGAATACATCTTGTTGACGGCTTGTTGACGACTTGTTACAAGATGTGAGATTTTCATGTGTGTAGTATGCAGAATGATATGAAACATACTCACCGGTTCAAAGTAATTGATAAATGGGGGCAGCATGTTCCAGGTTCTGAGACTTGACAGCTTCTAAATTAGAGAGGAAATGTATGACAGCTGTTCTTGTGTACTAGGTAGAAATCTACTTCTGATAATAGTATAATGTATTAGGACATCCAAAGGAGGAAGGTTTAAGCTCCAATTACCTCCATGGGTTTTGCTCTCTACTTACATATATAAAATGGTACAAAACTGGCCTGATTGTAATCCAAATGTATGCCCATTTATTAGTAAAACTGTGTGGCGAAAATAATAAAGTAGGGTGCATTCAGGTCAAATGCAACTTAATGGGTTAATTACTTTTGAACAATGTATATATTAACTGACAGCCATTTATGAAAGTGATATATAACACATGTGATGTATATGCTCACCTAAATAAATAGCATGTTAATTAACCAATTGAGTTGTATTGTGACTTTAAATGCATTCTTTATTATTTTAATCTTTCTAAACTCATCAAAGGGAGAATGCTGACACCACCTAAGAGTGAATTAAAATTTGAATTTAACTTTCTCTTTCTCTTTGAATTGCATTAATACTTGCCAATTTATATGGCTGTTATAGTTATTCATTGGATCATCTCTATCCCATGGTCCACGTTTGACAATTAATAATGAGGCACTGTATAGTAACTTTCTTTCTCTGTATGCATATGTCCTTTTCAGACTGTCTAATCCGATTGATTGTATCTCATTTTGCTGCAGAGCACACTTAAGTTTTGGAATTTTGTTGACTCCACAATAACCAATTATATGCCACTTTTCATTGTGAAACACCAAAAATTTCAATGCATTTGTGTCTCGAACATTGTCAGGTTCATGTTCCACTTTGAATTCCAATTCTTTATTTGCCGACCTTCTCCACATGCATATCGCAAGAGCACCTTGATACCTTTCTTCTTGCCAGGATCCAACCACGACAAATTTCTCAGGATACATATTAACATCAAATTCAGTATTTCCATCAGTACTCTCATGCTCGCTCTCATCGTCTTCGTATTCACCACCTTCAGTGTCTTCCACATCCAGCATCTCAGTCAACTGCTGAATTTCCTCCATTTCATTCTCTACATTCACTGTACCTCCTTCAGGTTCACCATCAACACTGCTACCACTAGGTGCTTCATCATCTAACATTCGGTGTGTATGAATGTCCGTCAGGCAAACAGGATTTATTGGTAAATTAAAACAATTACAATCAGTTGGCTGATGTAAATCTATTGGTGGAAGCACACTATCCAGTTCATCATCTTGACTATCTGGGTCACATGGTGGGATTGCTTGGGATGTTGGTGATGTTGAAATATCAAACTCCCACAACATAACATTGTTATATAGTTTGTTGCCTCCTTCCCGTGGATCATTAGGGTCGAAGAACTACATGATATGAAACAACAATACGTTTAATAAAATATACAAGCAACATTTGTTGTCAGTATAACTACTGCTGTATTTATAGCGAAATATGTCACACCGTATATATGCGAGCATTTTTATATTTCTATATATAAATCATCTCACCTTAAAAACACAGCTAGAATGAATTTGTACCAGTGCAGGACTACTGCAATCAGCGAACATTTCGTCAATTTTTATCCCGTTAACCACAGATGGACAAAGGACTATTCTTCTGGTTGTCAAACTATCCATAAAACTAACATGAACCTCGCGGCATTCAAGTTGAACACACGGTAATCCTTCCGGAATCAAGAGTAAAGGCTGTTTTGATACACAGTGAACAAATAGAAGCTCGTGTCCACCCAAAAACGAAGCTTTCGTTCCACGAATAGTGCAAAAACTCGCCATTCTACAATGTTTTCTATGAAATCTTTTCGAATCTCTAGAAACCTCAAGGTCTGAGACTCGAGGTGTAAACGTAGCGAAAACCGACCGAACAATGACGGCGCAGAGCGGGAAATCGATAATATGTAATAAACCGCGCCTGACCGCGTTGCATGCCGGTATAGTCCTCACTCCTCCTCTGAGAGTAAGCATGTTAACAGGTTGGTAGGTTTGCTGAATAATTAGGCCAAACACCATCACATTAGGCCTTTGGTTTCTTTGTCTTGACCTTTTGTTTTATTTGTTTTCAATAATGGCACTAATGACAATTTGGCCTAATTCTTCATCTAACATACCAACCCTGCATGTTACTCAAAAATGTTGCGTCCATTTTAAAAAAACAAACCCAAAACACAGAAACGTAAAAATGAGGCGAAAAAACTCATTTAAATGACACATTTTATCCCCATATCCATTCCGCATCCACTCCATGGATCCGTTCCGCTTCCGCATTTTAACTTAATTGTGACCATGTTTCTCAATAAAATCGCATTGACTTTGACTTTATATTCCCAAGGCCAAGATCAAGTTGTTTTTTATGAGTCAGCTTTTCACAAATATTCAATAATGTCTCTTTAGATGTCAATAATTTCACAGTTATAGCAGTGTTTATAGCAGTTTTGATAAAGCTTTGATACAGATAGATTCTCATAAGATCATTGTGCCATTGAACACCAGTTTGCACCGTGCCAGACATGTGAACAAGGCCCATGACTGTACACGTAGGATAGCTCATTGCCTTTTCTTCTATTTGATAAAACTTGCTGGGAAGTCAAGCGGTTGGTGATAACATGTTGGCTATCTCCTCGTCTTTCTCATTTCAATAAAGCTCTGACAAGTCAAGAGATTTTCTTTAGTCTCACAAGTTATTTTGTTGGTTATTTTCTTTGCAAACGCCATACAATAATATAAAACAAACACCTGCTTCTGTTTAATAGTTTATGCTGATGCAATTTTTTGCTCTTTGTACTGAGTGTAGCCATTTACTTGTGGTGTACGTTATACAGTTGATGTGTAATGAAGATACAGTCTAAACAATATAGCTATATCGGCACTTAAAATATTAATTGAATGCTGGTAAATACAAAACATCAATTTATATATTGTGTAAACTATATTCTCAATATTTATGTCTGAAATGTTTATATATTTGAAAAACAATACTGCATCGTTCCTTCCTAGCTATGTATAATGAATATACCATCAAAATAATATCGACACCTAATTGAATGCCAATTAATCTCGAAGATTTTCTCAATATTTATGTCTGAAATAATATACATTTGAAAAAAAGCACTGTCTAGCTCCTTCCCAGCTGTGTATAATGAATATACCGTCTAAATAATATCGGTACTTGATTTGAATGCATAACATCAATTTATGTACGTAGATTCTCTATTAAATGTCTGAAATATTTATATATTTGCAACTACAACACTGTGTCGCTCCTTCGTAGCATCGTCACACCATCATTGATCTACGGCTTGATAGCGCATGCACATTTGAGTGGCTAAGGAAAAAATCGGGTGTTCCGGGGAAAAGATCCTTTACACAAAATGAAAAGCGAATGTTCTAAAATTTACAAAAAAATTACAATAACGACAACGATTCCTCGACATATTTGTGAACTTGGTAAAAGTACAAAAGCATATTAAAATAAAACAACTGAAATTGTCTAAATAACCTTCAAAACACTGATTAAGTACAATAAATCACTTACAAACCTAAATCGTATGCACCCCCCAGAAAGTTTACTCTATGACTGACTGACTGAATGAATGAATGCCTGACTCGTGTGTTTTTGCTAGCCATCACAACAGTGTACTAAAAATGGCGAATATTGCTAATATTTTACCCATTTTGGTTATTTTATGTAAAGAGATA